CAAAAATAGATTTGCCAGTGGTGGCACCAGGATTTCAATCAAAACGTACTAGTGACTATCATGCTGGCATCTTTGAAGACTAGTTCCAGAAAATGATATATCTCATTCCTCCTGAGTCATGGATAATGCGAACTCAAGAAACTTCGAAAATATACCCACGTCTTCATGGAAAAAAAATATTAAACGATTGTAGTAACCAAATAATGCATAGGTAGTATATTTCATAAGTAGTGCCTTAGCGTCGATTTTTGTGTGGAATAGGTAGATTAAAAGCAGTCTTTAGAAACGGGTGTGCACTTATTTTATAAATAAATATGTAAAACGCTTCAGTGTTCTGCTTTAATAAATGCGTCTGAAGAACCAGAAGTCATCGGCGACTACCGACAACTTTTTCATTCGCTGACTTTTAAATAAGAAGCAATTTCTGAAAGCAAATGCTGAAAACGAGCTACTAAAGATTTTAAATTTGAATAAACTTCGCTTTCCGTCACATCACAAGTAAAAGAGTGTATAGCACATGTCGCATGTATGTCCAACATGGGATTGAAATAGAAGAAGAAACGTGGGAAGCTCATGACATTCGAGAAGATACTATAAAGCCGCTTATTATTTTCTCTGGACTCGACGACCGTAGTTAATATGATAATATATTTATTGCAATTTTTTTTAAGTTTTTATTTGCTTATCTACTAAATACCGCCAGTGGGACCACTCTGTGGAAATAAAATGGTTTGTAGAGAAAGCAAGCATCACTTCGATTTGAATTGAAAATCTGTTTACCAAACTGCTACTTAAATGCTATGTCTGGTGTGTCCTTTTATATATTTCCCAGTCCTAGACATCGACGGAAGCGTCCAGAAAGAAACTCCGTTTTAGAAAATAATGGGCATGACTAAAGAACGCAAATTAGAATATTTGGGTTGGCGCGTATAATGCAGAACCAATGGATTACTAAAGGATGAAAAAAATCCATAACACGTATTTGCTATTGGCTACAATATGCTTAAATTAAGCTCTTTCACATCTTTGACATATGTCTTTGCGTGGTTAGTGGAAATGAAGATTAAAATCCTTTTTGAATATTTTTCTATAAGCCCATTCATTAATTGCTTTTAAATTATTTTCTTCACAGTGAACCTCATAAAAATTAAACATATTTTTTATAGTCAGTTCAGGATGAACATATTTTCTGTCGGGATTATGGTCCCTAGTATAATGAGATTCAAATTTCGGGAAACTCTTAATATGGTTTTGAACAATCATATTTGCTTCATCACATATTTTTCTCGACGATCCAGGCAAACGCCCACATAAATTGTTGCCAACGTTTTTAGATTTTAATACACGGCCCAATAGTGCTTCGCTTATTTGAAAGTGTCTAAAAAGGATTTTTTACAAACAGCAACTTTGCCTGTTTTGGAATTTAACCATTTCGAAAAACTTCCATTTCTACATGAACCTTTTCCGTTTCTCTGACGTCTTTTATTTACAACACTGCATCCTATCGCTTCGCATAGCAATATATTTTGCTTATTAAAGTCCAAAGTTAGTTCCAAAACATTTCGAAAATAAGTTTTCTTTCTGTTTCATTAAAAATTTTCAAGTAGTTTTTTCGGCATATTGGCAATCTTCATTTTGAAAACCTTTGGCAGGAATAATTTTTCCCGATTGTGTATCGTATCTTTTCCCTGAATTCCGTTTAATTTTACGAATTTTCTGAATATAAGTACCACTTCTGTGTTCTCTGAATCCTTCTTTGAAGGTGCTGTTTTGTAAATTCTCATTCTCAATTACTTCCTCTTCCTCTGTTGAAGAAAATTTAAATATTGTTTTTTAATAAAAAATTAAATATAAAAAAACGTAATGTAAAATACCTTCATCACTGCTTTCAACATTTTGGACCGCACTATTTGACATCGTCAATAAAAAGTGGACTTAGATCACTTTCGAAATTAGGATTTTCAGTATTTTTGACAGTTCAGTATAAATTATCAATGTCACAAGTGCCAACTTGATAAAAGATGAAAATGAACTTAAGCCACTTTCAAAATATACGGCTCAATTGAAGACTACCTTTCGGCAACAGTTTTTCAAAAATGCTACCCTGTTTTGTAGTACTGTAATTAGAATGTAATAGACAAAGGCAGACCACTGGCAGGTATGGTCTGTTCATAGATATAAGAAAATGACCAATTGCATTTGAATGGGATTATCCAATGGTGGTCATTAACATACAATGCAACAAGATTATTACCTAAAGTTTCGGAATTTAAATTCAGGTAAAATTGTGGTCCGTCATAAAAAATAATTTTATACCTACCTTTGTTTAATATTCTTTGGTTTGGTATACTACTTAGTTTAAGTTTGTTTTTAATCATTCTTATTTCCTGTATAATACGGCGTGTGTTGAATCGTTTGCGAATTATGCAAAATATGTGCGAGTCTAGTGTATTTCAGGCGATGCTCCCGCCCAAATGTAGAAAACACTATTCTATTGAGACTAAGGAAGTTATAAACAATGTTTATTCGACTCTCTTTAGAATCATCTTTAGCATTTTTAGAAGAAACGGCGACATTGACGAAAATTCCAACATCAACTGTATGGAAAATTGTGAATAATCCCATTTCAGCGAGGAAAAAAAAGCGATGCTGACATTTTCTCGAGTGTAGATGCAAGTGATCAAGATATAATACGGCGTAAAATTTACCAGTTATAAGAGATGAAAAAGATGAAACCGGTGTTAAATGTGGCAGAACTACCTTATGGAAGTGTATTCAACACATGGGTTTTAGATTTTAAAAAATTGACAAAAGGCAAGTTTTAATGGAATATTTTAGAATTCGTAAATGGCGACTGGAATATCTAGAAAAATTAGGATTTACAGAGAAAAACAAAGGCCAATTATTTACTTGGATGAGACCTGGTTCAACTGGAAAAAGATTGACTTGACTCAACTGATAAGTGTAAAACAAACGCGCCATCAAAAAAAGGTAAAAGAATAACTATTTTGCATGCTCTAAAGATGGTTGGATTCCAAATGGACTTTCTCTGTCTGCGAAAAATATTAAAGAATCTTCTCTGGATCACCATGAAGACACCACCGCTGATTTATTTGAAAGTTGGTTTAAAAACGAACTAGTTCCAAACATTCCTCCGAATAGCGTCATTATAATGGACAATGCAAGTTATCACAGTAGACAGTTGACTAAGTTGACCTTCCTCATGTGACACAAAAGCAACAATCCAAAACTACATGTATAATAACGACATTTATTTTCCCGAAGATTATACCAAAAAGCAATTAATTGAGGTTCTACAAAGCTTGAATCTACAAAAGGAATATGTCTGATAATTATGCAAAAAATCTAGGGCGTACAGTTCCCCCTTACCACTGTATATTTAATCCCATTGAACATGTTTGGCACCAACTGAAATTGGCCATTCGTCGTAACAATCTTTTTCCTCGTGTTAAACTTATAGAAACCGAAATTTTTAACATCCTTCCACAAAGTTGGGCAAATTCTGTTAAACATATAGAAAAAGCAGAACAATCGCATATCCACACTGCAAATAATATAGAACAAATAATAATTAGAACAGGCGATGATAGCGATAGTGATACTGATATATTATGTAAATAATTTAAAGTAATTTAAGTAGGTAATAAAAATAATTTGTAATTTTATTTTCGATTTAAACATAAATACATACCTAAATAAATAAATATTGTTTTGTATCTTTCCCAACAAAACCCCAAATAATTAAATTCTAAGCAAAGTAGGGACCTGTTCGGCCACATTTCATTCTTACAGCTTGCCTGGGTCTTTCCTTAATTCGTATGAGTTAGTCACTTTCTTATATCTATGAACAGACTTTGAATGGGTCGGTTTTGCCATTCTGAATATACGAGTGGAAGCGGGTAAAATACTGAGGCACCTTCTCTCTTATGTCCGACTATGCCGTCGCAAATCGTATCGACTATAAAAATGTGTAAATTTCAATAGTTGCAAAACCGTTCGCGTAGTGCGTCGAAAATCGGGACCCAAGAAACCAAGAAACCGAGGGGCGCGCTCGAGAGAGAGAGAGAGAGAGAGAGAGAGAGAGAGAGAGAGAGAGGGAGAGGCGGCAAACAAACACGTCATTTCCGCGATCGGATCGCGAGGTGGCGGAAGCGCGGATCCGGTCCTGTCGCGCGCGCGGGAGAGCCATATGACCGTCAAACAACGGCGTATCGATCGCGCGGCTGCTCGCGAGCATCGCACTCGCAAACACACAGAAACCAGTAACCGAGAAACCGCTTTGCACGCGCAACGTTCCCGAGTTCGCGGCCTGCTACGACCCGCGACGCGTTGTTTACATTTTTTTTTTTCGTTTCTCTCGCGATGACTTTTCGTCGGTTGCCCCGTTGAACCGAAACCTTTCTGCGGCGCGCTGCGATGCGAAGCTCTGCCCTTCGCGGACAGGAGCAAGGAACAAGGGCGCAAAGCATTCTAAACGGCCTGCAGGTAGTCGGCAACGCGGTGGATCTCGCGAGACCGCCGCCGACACGCACCAGGAAGCTGAGGATCGATCGCGGACGTGAAACGACGCCGTGCGAGAGCGTAGCCGACGGCCCGAGGGACCTGGGGCCCCGTTACGTTAACCCCGAGGCGGTGACCAACCCCCAGCTGAAGCGGATACGCGAGACCGTCGACGTCGCCGAATTCGAGCGCATCCTCCGGAGTTTCCCTCCGACGAGAAGCGTCGACCGCGACCTGCATGGGCTCGACGACGTCTACCAGCAATTTTTCGGCCGGCACTACGACCACCTGCGTGCCCGCGTCGACGCCAACGTCTTAGAGTAACTCCGCACCGCGTCTATACCCGTGTCTTCGTTGCCTTTTCCGCGAAACCGCTTGCATTTTCGTACCGTTCCGTATTCTGTGATATATACAGGGTGTTTTTTGTGTCCGCACCGCGCTTTCCCTCGCCCGCTCAGCAACACGGCTCCCAACCACCGCGTCAAGATGGAGTGCAAGGCTCCGCCGCAGCCGTTGCCCGTCGTCAACCAGCACACCCAGGTCCAGACGCGCGACCTGGACCGCAAAGTGCTGCGGGAAACGCTGTACTCGGAGATATTCCAGAGGCACCGCAGGTCGATATTCGCCCTCGGCTCGTTCCTCAGGATGTTGAAGACGAAAAAGTCGAACTATAACGTCATCAAGCAGGACGGCGAGTCCGAAACCGAATAGCGACCGTACCGTAGTGCTAGGCTGTATATCTATAGTGACGTATTCCCCCTAAACCCGTTGTTACTTTTGATACTTGGCGCTGTTTGTACGATCTATACAGGATTTATCTATACACTCAAATAAATACGTAAGAATAACGGGCGCGCTTTGGTTATGTTCGGGAATGTGACTACCAGTGTCGCCACCACACGCTGACGTTGCCACGTCTGCCGCGTTACACGATGTCACCTTTGAGGCCCTGTGACTGGTGCAAGTTTCAAATCACGCAGTAAAAGGTGTCGGTATAAACCATATAGCTATTAGATAATATAGTGCTACAGTAAAAATTCACCCACTTTTTTTTACATACATACCGCCGCAAAAATACCGTATCCACACTTATTGACGATCTGTCAGTACCGCAATGTCATTGGTTAAAAACCTTCTCAATTTATTTTACATAATTGCTTCATCGTCTACTAGCTATATGGAATAAACGATAAACAAGAATTTAAGATATAAATATGAAAAATCTTCACCTACAGGATGTTTCATAAAATGTGTATGGCTCTATTTAAACATTTGGTTTCGCAAAAAGCGCCACAAAAACTCATTCGTTTATTTATTATTTCTGAAACGGTAAAGTGCGTGTAAATGAAATTAAGACCACAGATAAGTTTTCATGGCTGAAAGTTCAAAATTTAAAATATTTTTACTTCATACTTGTTCCTGAAGCAACCGCCATTATTCCAGCCGGCAGTAACTTTTAGGACCCGATCAACGATATCTTCAGTTTCAAAAATAATTTCAATTAAAATGAAGAGGAGTATTCAATCGACGCTAGAAATTGGCGGAGCTTTTTTTGAAACGCCCTATATAATCATCAAGCATTGATGACGAACAAAATAATAACGCAAGCTGAACGCCTTGGACCATTTTCATATACATATATTCGAAGTGACCTTCGGGATTCTGTAAGTTGATTGGACAAAATTACCTTTTCTTCTAATTACTTTTGCCGTACTCGATTTCAAATCGTCTAAATTGCATCATTGACCCGTTAAAAATTGAAAGTCAATGTTAGCAAACAAGGCCTCTATGAATGAAAATATAATAAACAAACGTTCAACCCCGTACGCCCGCATCATGAAACAGCCGTCGCGAATATCATAGGATCTGGCAACGTCGTCGTTGTTGTGCCGGAAGTACATCACAATCACAACCTTCGTTTATTATTCGCGTTACGGAAATAATGTCGGGTCGCAAACGTGTTTTCATAAAACGAGGACGGCGTTGACTACGTGAAAACGCCGTTTACCGCGGCCCAGTTAGGCGTTTGTCACATCAAACACATCAAATTGTTTTTGTTCAATAAAGTTGATATTTTATTAATCCTGCGTTTTCATTTGGCATCTCGGGCGACTACGTTCTTCTTTCGGCGACGGGCGCTGTTGTCCCTGCAATCCGTTAGCTTCCAGTAATTGCGGATTTAAGTTAATCTCGTTCTGCCTCACATCTGCGAATACCAATTTTAAGAGATAACGATACGTGTATACTGACCAGAAACGCAAAAATCTGGCCTTCGTAAGGATCGCAGTGCCTAATAATTTTACGTTACGCTAACGGTAAATTCTAGTTCTAAGACGAGACATTTAGTTGCAGTTGTTTGCAAACACTCTGTTTACGAGTTTTGGTGTTAAAAAAAATGAAAAAGGTCATATTTGTGTCGCGAAAACGCTAAAACTAAGCAAATACGAATGTGACCAACCAGATAAATGTAAAAATAATAAGTTAAGTCGTACAAGCGTATACGCAGATTAAAATTTTTGTTTTGTCAAATATGCGCGTAACTACGCACATGGCAAAGCGAAAACAGATTTAAATAACGATTATTAAAGGCAGCGGGTCAAACGATTTATAGAAGCGGGAAGCTGTTTTATTAGGGGAATTTGGGACGGCGCAATTGGAACCACGTGTTGGCCTCACGCGTACGTCACGCATGAATTAAATAAACAAACGATCCCAGCCACCAAAATTTGTCGTCCTCCATTTAAGTACTGCTTATAATTTTCGGCCGATTCATATAATTTTCTTTCATTCACGATCGAAGGCACAGGTTCCGTTAATTATGTTGGTTTGTTTTGTTTTTACTCCCTCTCTAGTCATAGCCGTACCAACGAGCTAGATTTCCTTGAATTCCAACGTTTATTTATAACAACACAAAAGGACGACATCCTTATCGGCGACGGAAGCACCATTATTAGCTCGTCTACGTTTGTAAGTCGCCTGCCGTCGTAATGCCTAATTATCGACGAGGTAAACAAATTGGAAATGCTTTTGCGGCACGCTTATCCATGAACTCAGCAGGCCGAAAAACATTCTAAAAAGTTTTTATTCTTGTTAATAGAGATTAGGTTTTAAAACCTCCATCTACCGTCTCGCCAATATCTGATTATTCGAATGTCTCACGTGTGGCTTTTTGCACGATCAGGTTACGCTTGCTTAGCAGTTTAAGCCGTTTTAAAACCGAACGAACGCAATTAGAACAATGCGCTTCGTGCTAGAAGCCCGAAGGTCGATTGATGTTGCAATCGTATTTGTACCTTCGGTGTGCACTTGTAGAAAAAATCATATACCATAATCCCTTAAAAATATCTTTCTATTAGCAAAAAATCCACACCGAAAAAGCTAGAGATAATCCATAGAAACAAAATGTATTATAATGTCTACGCCGACTAACCCGCGATCTTTGATCCCAAAGGTTTTGCCCAAAGATCCGAAGGCGCGGCGGCTGTTTGTGACATCGGGAGGTCTGCAAAAAGTCCAGCAAATCGAAGCTAAACCCGGCACAACGCTGATGGAGTACATCACCGTTATTAATTCTTGTTTCCCCGACGAAATCGTCCGGTATTACTCGCCAGGTACCCTGAAGGCCACTAAATCGCAATGATGTCAATTTTTAATTGGCTCGTTTTAATCCAGGATATCCCGAAACGCTTCTGGAGAAACTGGAGCAGTACAGTCCACAGATGATGACCGTTTTAAGAGAATCGGGACGCTCCAACGAGGGCATCCAGACTGAAATTCTCCAAAGACTCTCGCGAGATGAAGCAAACGATGTTTCAAACGAATTGTAAACCAATAAACCTTATGATTTGTAAACCAGGTTGGGACTTACGTGTGCGGTGGAAAAGGAAACTTTGAGCTTAGCTTAGCTACGCAGTCAGGTCATACATTTATGGAACCCTTTTTTGTTTTAAATATTTGTTATATTATTTTTTTGTTTGGGTTCGAAATCATCAGGAATTTTCGAAAATATTGTCAACTTCTATGTTGTCGGAAATTTTCGATTTCGGTGTAGATGGCGCATTTTTCAACTCTAGAAAAGTAATTCCTGTTAAAATTTATTACCAAAACATGAAGGTCTCTGATTGCGTGAGTGTTTCTTTGTCTGTCAAGGACTAACCAAATCGCATTGATTATCAACCAACGGAAACTTACCGAGTTGGGTTCTGCGCTGTCAAACCGGGAAAGACGAGTTGAAAATTTAAGCGGTTTTTCGTGAAAAATGAGCTGCAAACGGATCCAGGTTTGTAGAATCTGTCTAAGCACAAAACGAAAGGGTAAAGTGTACTTTGGTATCGACGCGGAGAACGGAATAATTAAGAATGTGAACAATATTCGAGAAATGATCACATTTTGTGAGCCCGAAATGGTAATAAACCGGAGGTGATTCTCTTGTAGCCAATGTTTTATTGCGAATGGTTTCAGGATTTGTATGTTTCACCTAACCCCGTCATATGTGAGACTTGCATTCCAAATCTCGTAGCTGCCTATAATTTTAAACTTAAATGCTTCGAGGTGGAAAATGTAATTAGAGCTTACCAGTCTGCTAATGAATTACGTGACAAGGCTGCTCAAATTAACTTGCAAGATGTAATTTCATTTAAAGGTATCAGTAATTCTCCGACGATTACAGGGAATGTTAAGGGTCATGGATTAACACTAGGTAACACTATTCAACATGTTAGAATGCGAGACCTTAGCAGTAAAGGAAATGGAGACATGAATGTTGATGATGATGTTATTGTAATTGACGATGCGGTAGACGAAGTAATGAAAGTCCCTGTTCAAAATGGCACAATCAACAAACCTCATTGCAGTAATATAGCTTTTACTGATGTAGCAATGAGATCTGCCATTTCCGATGTAATAATATTGGATGATATAGAAGATGAAGTAACAACTAGAGAAGATATTTCAGTAACAAAGGGATCTAAGAAAGTTGTCACTAGAAAGAGAAAGTCCAAAACGGCTGGTATTGCAAAGAGCATTCCCAGAGCAAAAAGAATGAAATTGTTGCACAAAGAGAAGAGAGTTAGGCCAATATATAGGGCTAGGAAGATCGGTGTGCCTAAAAGCAAGCCTATAGAACAGATGGATATCCTAGAAAGTGTCGGCCTGCAACCCAAAAATGTCAATGACAACAACAACTTAAAACTGGCACCTGGCAATAAAACTGAAATACAAATGCAAATAGAAACCAATAATTTAGAGTCTCGGTGTTTGACCATTAAACTGCCCAGAACAACTTTTTTTAATTGCGAGCATTGCAGTTACGTCTCCGTTAAAGAGGATGACTTGAATGAACACTCCATTAAAAAACATGGCAAATTTATAATTTTCTCCTGCCATCTCTGTTCATTTACCACAAAGAGTAAATTGGCATTTCAGAGGCATTGTAGGAATCAGCACTTAGAAGAGTGTGCCGCAAGGTTGAAAGATTTTAAAATCCTCCCCACACACTATTGCAGTTTGTGCAAATTTTTCTCACAGAGTCGAGACGACTTTGACTATCATTGTAAATATGTACATTATGTTAAGGTCAATGGTAAGTAAATGACATTTCTTAAATAACATCGTTATCCATTGTTATTAATGTAAAGGTTAGCAAACATACAACAATGGAAATAATAAATACCTATTGAAAAATAAAAATACATAGCCAGAAAAATAGCCTAAAGAATAATTCTTTATTATACTTTATACAGGACGTGTTGAAACTTGTTATACCAAGCAAAGATTTTATTTTGTCAGGCATACTCTTATACTGTTTCATACTTTTAAGCACAGGCTCTTGTAACTTGACCTACTACTAACTATAAATAATTGTCTCTCGAACAGGTGTTGTGTTGGCGAATATTCTAAAATTTGTTCTCTCAATAGTGGCGCTGCGAAATGTAAATAATCGAGCGGGTTTTATTGCAAGCTCAATTTAAACTTTTGATCGGCTTATTTCAACTGCATATTCCACAATCAACCATTGTTAGTGGCCATGTTACCATTTTTTGTTGTGTGTGGTTTGTGGAAAATGACCCAAGAGCCAACATCTGTCTATGAAATCCATTTCAATTATTGGTGGCTTTTACTTGATGAAAGTCCATTTCACACAATTAAATTAGAACCAAAAATGTTCAGATTTTCACAGTTATTTATTACTTTATGACAGCTGTTTCGACAACACCCTCACTTTATCAAATACAAGTTATGACAATATTCCGACACATATATATAAACATGACAATATTCCGACACATATATATAAACAGGTAGTAATAGATTTTTAATTACCGTTGTAGTGTTTAAATTTAACAACGGAGACGCCTTTAAATCCAATTGGTCCATTTTTTTGTTTTGTGATTGATTATGTAATATATCAAAATTATCGTCAAACTTGTGCATTTCTGAATTTAAATCATTGGCATAGTTAGAGTTTGAACTATATTTTTATCATTAAATAACTGAAAGTCTGAACATTGTTTGTTCTAATTTAATTATCCGTTTGAATTGTGTAATGTGACAGCCGGAGTTTTGTAAAAGGTGAAGCAATATTAAATGCGAATGTAATTTTAATTGGACATTTATTTAATATTTCTTGAACAATTTGTTTCGGATTTGTATTTAAAACCGGAAAGTTTTTCCTAGAATGTTGAACTTTCGGACGAATCCATCCAAAAACATTTTTTTTTAAAGAATTTCAACATAAAAACACGAACCATTCCCAATTGAAACTTGAAGCTATGGTAATATTTTTTCCGCCACAAGTCTCATCAATTTATACTTTTCAAGAAGATGCATTAATAATATAAGTTATAACCTGCTCGAAACGGACCGAGGATGGCTCGGTTGGTGCTTTTGGTGTTGTGTAATCGTTAAAAATTTGTGTTTATACGTTATAACTTGGTTGTAATGGCCGAATTGCTGCCTTATGAAGCAGTAGTGGCCAAATAAAGCGTATTTAAAAAAACTGCTTGACACTCAGAAAACTAGAGTAGAGAGCCCAATTATTGCAATTGTTGCATACGTATTACATCCTAACATGATACTGGTGCCTTCCTTTTGTAATGTATTTATTTGTGTTTTAATCACAAAACATAATAAAGTGAAGGATACTGTATATATTGTGCATTCGTTCATTTATAAATTGTTAACTTAGCCCACCTTCTCACATCTTTTGAAACACGTAGAAAGACAAATTTTCATCGATTGTACAACCCAAATATTTGAATAACTAACCAAAACGTCATTATAACATACATTTAACTAAAGTTTATTGCACTTTTTTTTTGTAAACATGCAGTACAATCCATTACATTATTCAGTTGACCAATATTAGTTTGGAAATTTTGGACTGATTTTACAGGGACCTGAGATAGCCGTCATTGAGTTTTTTTTTTTGCAGATTCTTATAGGTGCCCGCACTGCCAAAAAGGCTTTCAGCTCTTTCGCGACCTACACTTTCACGTGGAGGAAAAACACTCTTCAGGCACTGTAGTTTATGAGTGCGCGTTTTGCAATTTCCAGTGCCCCACTAAACACAAAATCAAAAGCCATTATGTCTGGCACAGCAAAATTAAACTCAAGTGCCTTTTGTGTCCGTCTTTCAGTACCTACATATCAGACAAATTTTCGACACATATGAGAGAACTTCATTCTGCGCAGCGATACTCCGGCCTGGCTTTCCTCGACCCTAGCATCCCCGTTAAAGATAGTAACTACAGAATAAGCTTGGAAGAATTGGAAAGCAAAAAAAATGAATATGCTTCTCCAGTGCAACAAAGGTCGGCTGAAAGGGAACCTACTGAAAACAACTTAATCAGTGGTCCAAGCTTGAGTGATCTCCTCTGTAGTTGGATGATGGAAGGGACAGATGAAACAGATTGTACGATTGTGGAATCTGAATTGAATCCAAAGGGCAAAGAGTGTGGTGCCGTGGTGCCAGAGAGTGTAGGTAATGATAATTTAATTAATGATGATCGAGATGACTGCATACTGATTGAAAGAACCATAGAGGTCATCAATTTGGACAGTGATAATGAGAATGATTGCGTTCCTAAGGAAATTAATTTGCACTCTAATGTGTTGTGTGACAATGTAGTGAATTCATGAAGCCCTTGTGCTTAAATGTCAATAGAAAAGCCGTTCTGTTGGAAATATAAGGAAGTAAATCTTGTTTTTCGTTCTTAATTTCCAATTTCCTTGCGGAATTGGTTCATTAAATCTTCCATAGTTTCCTAAATATCTTTGTACAGTGTACCTACTGTGCCAATGCAATTTATATTTTGTCTAATAAAGATGTTTAATTACTAATTTTTATTTAAACAATACATTCGGAACCCATTTAGCAATAGAAATGACGTGGCTGCACCTGGAATTTTTTGAGTAAAGATCCATAAATGTTGAGAATGGATATCGATTTTGCCCATGCGCGAGCCATTTGAAAACGGTTTAACTAATAAGATCTTGCGATGGTTGAAAACAACCATGGCCGGTGACAGTTTCAATGTGACTTTTCCTATTAAATTTTCATGGAAAAAAATTAGTTAAATTTAAATTTATTATATTAATTATAATTTATTACACTTATTTTTTACAATTTAAGTCTTTTTCTTTTAATAATAATTTATAATCTAAGTTTCTGTAATGGGTGAGTTTCCTTAGTATATTTCCCTTCAATAAACGAGTAGGGGGAGGAATAATAATAACAAAATAACTACGAACGTGGGATTCTGTGGTGGAGCATTGCACGCGGCGGTTTAATCTCCGTTCGCTCCCGACAGAATCCCTTGTATTCGTCCCAAAAAGTTTGATATCGGTTTCCACAGTGTGGATTTAGTGTTTTGAGTGTTTAGTGTACGTTTTAAAGTGATAATCGTCGGCGGCCCCGTCGTTTTTCCCTGTTCACGCTGGTATGGTGGCCGGATGGGCCCGGATGGTCCCTGGTGGAAGCGGGGGGAAGCCGATTTTTTTGGTATCGGTCAGAATCGTTTTTTGCTAGATGAGCAAATTATTGGTTATTTTTCTTCTTTGTACGTGGTGGTCATTGACCAAAAGCGAAAATCCTCGACGGAAGTCGGCAATGGGCGAATGATCCTAGCAGTCGAGCCCAACATTTTTTTGTGATACGCATAATTGAATTGAATTGAACTACGAACGTGGTTGTAGTATTCTGTGATGCAAGATAAAATTAACTGTCAGGTAGCTGTGATTTGTTCACAGAAATGAAATTTCTACATTAGTAAATGATATTTTGTCAAAATGAATGAACCAAATATAATTTGCAGAACGTGTCTTAAGGTAGTCGAGACAAATAAATTCACATATATCGACGATGAAACAGGTTACGTTCAAAACGTAGGAAACATCAGGGAGATGCTTCAATTTTGCATTCCAGAATTGGTAACTCTGGGATACCCTGATTTTTTATGTAAATGATGGGGTCTTTTTAGGACCTTTACGTTTCGTCCAAACCTGTAATTTGTTATGTCTGCCTCCCAATCCTAGTCACTGTCTATAACTTTAAAATCAAGTGCCTCAGTGGTGAGAACATAATCAAAGGATACATCACGAGGAACAATCTAGTCGACTACAATTACGTGAACCTCAACTGCGTCCTTATGGACGAAGTAAGAGTCAAAAATCAAGATACTCAGATTGAGAACAAAATCAAGGAGTACATGGAAAATGATATAAAAGAAAGTGAAGCAAAGGATCTTGAGATAGACAAAGAATCTGAATTGAAAGCAAAGGAAGAAGTAACAGTAGAAAACGACGACTTGATGGATATAAATGAAGAAAAGGTTAAAACGGAAAAGATAGAAGGCAGCGATGTTGGTGATGCGGAAAATATTGAAACAGTAGAGCCCACCTCAAACCTAATTCTCAAGGTTAACAAGAGTCAATTAAAGGAAATGGATACTCCATGCAACAAAGAATCAGTTGAAAATGCAGAGATTAGACGAATTATGAGAGAAATTGGGTATGTGAGTTTCACAAGTGAACCTATAGATAATAACATGGTCCTACTATGGTAAAAGTTGATGCCCTTTAGGTGGTTATGATATTTTCGTACAGTTGGAAACAATCTTTCACCCCCATATAGCAATTAGATGATATAGTGGCGATAGCAAAAATTGATGCGCCGCAGGCGCCATTGATATTGTCATAAAAATGGCACATCCAAACTTATGCTGTAAGGTCATTGGTTAAAAACGAGATTTTAAATCTCACGCATGCATATGTTGAATGCACCTCCTCAAAATTTTTTCATAGTTGCTTCATAAGTTCCTATATTATCAACATAGGCAGGGCGAGTAGCTACATGGTCACCCCCAACTGACTGAATTGCTCTATTGTCGTAATTTTTCCGAAAAATTGATTTATTGTTTAAAAAAGGGAAATGTTGAATGGACCTCTTCAAAATTTTCTTCATAGCTGCTTCATAAGTTTGTGTATTATCGGCGTCTGCAGGGCCTCTATAACTCTAGTGGCTATATGAATAAAACCAATTCTTAGATTTCAATTTTAATTTATGCTTGCAGCATCATTCCATCAGATGATAGCTTGCAATCAGAGGAGAGCTTATCTTCTGGCACTTCTTTCAACCCTATGGTCAGCAACATCTTGCAGAATGGAGGAGCTCTTATGTCGAATACAGAATGCACCGATTCAGCTAGAAAAGATTACACGTGTAAACACTGCCCTTTCAGTACCACAAAAGTGGAACTGTTTGGCAAGCACATGAGCACCGTGCACCCAAAACCGATGCTAAGGGTGCCCAAGGGCTTTACCGTTATTGAGAACTACGCCTGCTACTTATGCCCCTTCAGTGCCAGCACCATGGAACTTCTGCGGAAACATCATACGATATCCCACGCGGAAACCGAAGGTACTGGAAAATTTAAAATTTTAACCAAATCAAGTTTTTTGGTTTGTTAGTTTGCACCAATAATTTTATAAAAACTTAATGACAGAAATGCTATTAAATAACAAAATTTGGGCGGAGGGTTATTTAGTAATACCAATTTGCAAAAATTGGTATTACATGATAAAATTTAGAGAGGATATTAGGAAGGGTTTTAAGAAGTTCAATTTTTACATATTTTGGGAGCCGCCAGGCGGATGTTATTTAATAGCATTTTTTTTCCAATTTTTGGTTGTAATAAAAATATTGGTGCAAACGCCAATGTCCTTAATTCATGTCAGAACATATTGCGAGTTTGTTTTAGACACGTTAATTCTAAACGATCATTTACCTCGGACCAACCGCAGCGAAGGCAACGAGGTGACGTATAAAAGATCAAACGAATATTCGTGCACAGTGTGCACCTATGTCACGAGGGATAAAAGTAATTTCCGCAAGCATTCGTTTACCCACGGCACGAAGCCGTTGAAATGTAGCCAGTGTAGTTACGAATGCGTTTCACCTTACCAACTGCGGAGGCACGTCAAGCAAAAACACGAAGGGGGCAAAGAAAAACGAACCAGGAATAAACCGTACGTGCTGCCCGTCGTGGGTCCCGTTAAAAGTTCCAGGGACGGTAACAAGGATGATAAGATCACCTTTGGGAAAGTTAAAGAACTCGAGGAATATGAAGATGTTTAATTGCATAGATGATCATGTTTGTTTGGTAAAACCTGGTCAGGCTTCTTTTTTTTTTTTGCTGGACTAGGTTTTTCCACACACTTAAGACACTTTTCGGTTGTAATTTTCTAGTCATATTGCGTGCCATTGTTTTATTTATTTATGTATTTATTTATTTCCCCCAATTTTTGTATATTTTTGTTATTTAAAAGGAAAAAATGGTATAAATGTTTACTATACATATGATTATGTGAAGACTTTTATATTTGTAGCTACTTTTAGAAAGTGTTATCACTAAAAGACCTTTTTTGAAGGTTATATTGTTGTCAAAACCCAATCTGTATTGTCGTACATAGAATAAGTGAGCGCTTCGCCCCAAATATTACTAAATAAACCAGCTATATAGATGAAATTGTTATTATTAAAATGTACATTTTTACAAAACAATCTAATAGGTTCACTGCCAATATTTGTCAAAATATAACACCACACAACATTTTAAAATAAACTTGGTGTATATTATGTCTTGTGAGCATAGAACGGCCTCCTAGTTACTCCATTCTTGTTTGATCTAATAAAAACATCCAAAATGAAAAATTTACAATAAATCTTTGTTAAATTGTATCACCTTCACAATTTTTCAAAATGTGCTTGGCATATATTATAACATCTTGTAAGGACAGAAGATTCTCTAGTTTATCCCATTCTTGTTTGATTAAATGATTATAGTCCTCGAAACATTCAAAATGATTAGGAGTGGAGTGTCGATATACTAACAGTTGTTCCAAACAACTTCCAATTTCCTCAACTTCTTTTAAAATAACGTCTAAGCGACCCGTAGGCCGCATGCGTCTGAAATATTCTTTGACTACATTCTTCGGTAGCTCACTTGAAATATCCGCTAAAGCCGCTATAAGTTTGGCATTCCAATGCCCTAGATGTCCATCTCTCAGTATGCGACTTTTCGTTTTTTGGTCTTTTATCTTGGCTATATTTCGGAGTTTATTCTTAATTGCAGGATTTACTAGACAAGGTTTTAATTCATCCCAACCAAATGATGGTGAACTTTTGTCTTCATCTTGAGCTTCATACTTATGAAAAAGATCTTGCCATTTTTTTTCCCTTTCTATGGACAAAGCACGAAAACTCCGTGGACTCATTTCGATTGATGAAAAAGAACTCGACATATCCTCCGTAATTCTAAACCCCATGTAAACAATAGCAGATAACCCCTTTTTTTTTAACTATAGGAAAACCGCCAAACACATGGTTTCATCGTCGGAATAAAAATTGGTTTGTTATTACATTACTTGACTTATGTCCAATCGTTTTTCATGGACGAATCAGCTGACCAGAACAATATTTTGTGAATCTGTCTACGGTCTATTTTTGGTATTCTTCATTATTATTTTCATATCAATTTTCGTTTGCGTTAGAAAATTCATTATTTTCAAACATCTAGGAATACATGTTACGATATAACGTATATGCTCTGTGTGGTAGTCGGAAATGGGCGAATGTCCTTGGATGACTTGCTTACGTTAAGGAAAGGCAAAGAAGAAAAGAAGAAGATAAGCTCTGAGTAGTATTTATCTTTGTAATCGTCCAAAAATTTTGAAATCGGTCTCCACTGTGTGGATTTAGTGTTTTCCGTGTTTTGTGAACGTTGTAAAGTGATAATCGTCGTCGGCCCCGTCGTTTTTTTCCGTTCACGCCGGTATGGAGGCCGGATGGGCCCGGATGGTCCTTGGCGGATGCGGGGGGTGTCGGTTTTTTTTGGTATCGGTCAAATTTGTTTTTTGCTAGTTGAGCAAATATTGGTTATATGTCTTCTTTGTACGTGTTGGTCAATGACCAAAAGCGAAGATCCTCGACGGAAGTCGGCAATGGGCGAATGATCCTAGCAGTCGAGCCCAACATTTTTTGTGAAACGCATACTTGAACTTGAATTAGTAATGGGCGAATGATCCTGGTAGTCTTGCCCAACAGCTATCTGTGAAACGCATCATTGAATTGAATTGAACTTGAATTAGTATTTATCTATTCAATGATAGTTTTTTCCTGCAACTCTGTTGGGTAAAGCAGACGGGACGTTATTGACATTTTTCTGACGTTTCGTTTCGTGTATGTGCATTGCATTTGATAAGAAATGCCGCATTGAATATCGAGGAGTATGCATGAAATTTTGTGAAACTTGCGTGTTTTTGGCGTGAAAGTTGCTTTTACCGTCACATTTACCTCGTGTAAACTTGGCTTCAAAAAGGGTTTCCAATAGTAAAAATGGACGCCAAACGAAAATTATCGTAAGTCCGACTCGAGGGTGCTTTGCAATTAGAAAAATATCGCAAGTGTGTTGTTTCCATATAGCACAGTTAGCCTTAAGAAGTTTTCATTTCATTGGAATTTTCTTAGGTTGCCTGTGTATTGACGTCCTATTTGACATAGTTTTTATTTTGTCTTGAAAAATCGACAATTTTTAACAAAGTTGATTTTAGCCTACGCTTTTTTACAATATCCCTTACACGCTTTGTTATTTTCGTAACAGAACGCAAGGAGATTCGCTGTACGAAATTCTAGCCCTTCCAAAGACCGCATCCGCTGAGGAGATTAAAAAAACCTACCGTCGGCTTGCTTTAAAATACCATCCCGACAAAAACCCAAATAATCCGGAGGCAGCGGAGAAATTCAAAGAAGTAAATAGGTTGGGTGAACAATTTTTAAACATGTGAATAAAAATTTCATTTATTTTGGTTTTAGAGCACATTCAATATTAAGCGACGCCACAAAACGAAACATATATGATAATTATGGGTCTCTTGGTTTGTATATCGCAGAACAATTTGGTGAGGAAAATGTTAATGCTTATTTTGTTGTAACATCAACTTGGTGCAAGGTATGTACAATTTGCATCTACATTAAAACTTTTCTAAAACAGTTTGTTAAACAATTAGCTTTGTAAAAATGCAAATATATAAATATGGCTGTATGTTAAAGATAAGAAAATGGCAAATAATAAAATTGTCGGTATTTGTTTTTTCTGGAGATGGGAGTGTCATGAGTTGTGTAAAAAAAGATGATGGATATTACTGGGAGAAAATAAGGCAGATTAGATTAACTCTTATTTAATTTATTGGTCATAAACTTGTTTCTAATCTTGTGTTAAAAATGTTTGAGAATATTTTTAAAACTAGGTTGATTAATATTTTTGGGATGAATCATTGTCAGATAATGAGACATTTATACAGTGTGCCAAACAGGCACTTATTTTTTCACATGGTTTTGAAGTAACCTAATATAAAATATAAAAGTCTCTCAATAGAAAAGCAAAGATCATCTGAAGGTTATTTTTAATGTTTACAAAAGGTTATGGTGGCCTCATCATCAAATTTTTAAATATTGTTTAAATGTAGGGGTTCTAATGGGTTTTTGTTGTTTTCTTGCAGGCCCTAGTGTTTATATGTGGCATATTGACGGGCTGCTACTGCTGCTGCTGTCTGTGTTGCTGCTGTAACTTCTGCTGTGGAAAATGCAAGCCAAGGCCTCCCGAAGACACTGGTGACTACCACAATCTGAATGTAAGTTTTTGACATTTTGTCGCAGTTTCTAATTGTGAGTGTTTGTTTTACTCTTTGATTGGTGGCTTTAAATTTAAATAATATCTGATAAAAATGTTGATGCTATTCAAAAAGACTTAAATTGTTTGGACCCATTGATAGAATGGTAGATGGGATTGTGCAATATCTTTTCAAGTAAACCCACGAAAAAAGTTATCACAAAGCTCAACTTTCTAATGAGTAGATATATTTTTCAGTATGAAAATGTGTAAGTTGTAATTTTTATTAAATTTGACCCATCCCACATTTATCTTGCTTGGTTTAAAGCCATCATTTTATGTTTGCATCTTAATCACTGGCGTTTGGTGTGCATTATTTCGTTCACTTTTTGAAAAAATGCTGGGATACGTTTTTTTAATAATATCCATTAAAAATAAAGGTAAGTGCTTATAGTAATCTATTCTTGGTTGTCGTTGCTTGATTTTGTCTATACCAATGATATGCTGGTGATGGTCTAAACAGATGAAGGTAAGGGTTATTTTTAACGTTTTTTTTTTTTTAAAAATTTTATTTAATGTTTTTTTTTCACACTATATTTTTGTTAGTGGGTAGATCCGCTTTTTCTACACTTTATCCAGGAAATTTTATTTTAATGATAATATTAAGTTATACTTTGTGTCCAAAGATTGGTCTCGCAAACGTTAAAATTTATAGGCTCGGTTAAAGAAAAGAAAAATTGCTCATTTTTATGCATAACAATAGCTGTTCCAAGGAACAGAAATCAAAAGTGTCAAAATTTTTTCAATCCAGCATTTGAGCTAAGCTAATGTTTAAATTTGATGGTATTTTTTGAATTAAATTATACAGTGGCACTTGTTATCTTTTTGGAGGCACTGTATACTGCGTTTAACGTAGGTGTAGACAAGTGGAGGGGGATGTAAAAATGTCATTGTTTTTCTCTTTTGTTTTAGTAAAGTATCTAGACTAGAATATAAACAGTTTTTGCACCTGTGTTTAGGATTCTTTTTGATGTTCTGTCGATCCTTTTTTGGTGATTGTTGAACGACTGTACAAAGTGCCACAGAATCAAAGCCTTTTTGAGAATTCGAAAAGTTAAATTTTTTAGGAAATTTGACTTTAATTTCAGTTATATCAGGATGGGTATTTTAATGAATCACGTTATTATTCATTGATAAAGCCCCAAGATCATATTCTTGAACTACAGAACTTATACTATTTAAGTTGGTTAGCCCGACAAAAAGTGGTTATACAACCGAAGGGTCGTAGTCGTGAGAGTAGGTTTTGTAACAATTTTTCTTTCTACTGTTTAACCTAGTATGTTTTTTGTTTGTTTATTTAGATTGTTTTATGGGATTACATTAATTTTATTGATTTCTAATCTTGGAATAACCTGAAATGGCTTTTAATTCTTCATCGATGTATATTTTCAAATATTTGTTTTCAATTTAACAGGAAATTTTTAAAACGTTATAACTAAGAAAACACAATCACGTCAATAAAACACGCGAACAGATCAGAATGCATCAATCGCCTTAGCATTTCAAAAAAAAAGCGAAGGTTCAAAATAGACTGAAAAACTAATATGCCAAGTACTGACTCTCCTCAAACAACGTACATTACTAATTTTTTGATTAATACTTTGGATTGAAAAATAATAAGTAAAATTAATAAATATCAATGCAGCTTTTCATTTGACTACTAATAAACAAATTTCAACACATTGACTTCTGGCCAGTAATTTCAGTAAACAAAGAAAACTTTGGATTCCATATTTTCACAAGACGCTAAAATATTTCACTCGAGTCCATTGTTGCCAAGTTGTATTCTCTCTCCCATGTACGTGTTTTTAAATAATAGTAATAATATGAATGTGTACATGCTCAACAGTAGAATAACGGGAGCTAACTAAATATTTGCGTATTTCTTCACAACTAAAATGCAGAAAGCCAACAGCAACATTGGACTGGGGTCCAAAATTAAACACCTCAGGAAATTCATAAAGTGCTTGTAGTATTTAGAGGTGGTTTTTGACTGTTTTTTTTTGTTATTTAATTGAAATGCTCTTTTATGTTCTTCAGAAAAATAAAATGAATAAAACCCTATGTGAAATCATTACGCCGCTGCAATCTATTTTGACATTTATTTCACTTCTTCCTTTATGGGTTATTACTCTTATTCATTACGTCCTAGGTGTAAAGAGCTTTATTTAAGGCACCAATATTTAATTAAAGAAAAATTTATGTACAAAATTGAGCATTGTTTACTAAGTAAAATTTTTCTTTGGTAGTATCGATACACAGATGATGTTTTTGCTTGTCCCACTGGAACGGAAAGACAACTACAGTTCTTTTTAAATAATATTAACTCCATACATAACTGTTAAAAACTTACAAAACCAGATGACTCTCTAAACTTTCTGGACTTAACTATAACACACTCGGACGCAGAAATACATAATAACTCGAATCACCCTAACAGGGACCAAATATCTGCCTTTTATTATTTTACGGACCCATATTAAACACCGGACCCAACATTTATAAATCAATAAAATACATAAAATATTCTTTCACTTTCCTATTAGAGATAGAGTAAAAGGCACCTAACAAAAAAGATTTGAATTTTTCTGAGCTTTTGAACAGTCATCACTCTAAGTATCATTAATTTAAGAAAACTTTGCGGAAAACGGGTTTAAAAATTGAAAATGGCTTGGCCGGTTTACTTAATAATTTTTTTTTTCAAATTTTTAGGAACATTCATTTTCCCAATATCCCGCATATAGACATCAGAATATGGTAATATTTTGAATTTGATAGGTACGGTGTTGACAAAACATAAGCATCATAAACCAATAAATAAATGCGAAAATCGGAAATTTAATCTTTCTTTCTTTTTTCAAGCGGAGATTTTGTCGGTTAGGTTGTTTTCTTTTCTTTTTTGAAAACTGGTTTCCTCCTGCGTCGGTTTTTGTTGACTCGAACTAGCTAACGTTTTGCCAATCATCCTTTTGGCTTCTTCAGAGCTTGACTGAAACTGGCTCGTATTTTACTCTGTACCTGCTTTTATATTGTTTGAGGGGGGCGGAACTAATTGGATGACTGATTCCGATATTGGTGACAGGTAGAGACCTGAGTCGCGGTTAAAATTGTTAGATTGTTTATAGATTTCTATAGACTCTCGGATTTTTCGTTGGTAGAAGAATTGTAGTTTTATCGAGTAAAATTTTATGTTCGGTTTCGTGATTGTGTTCGGCAATTCCTGATGAGTTTATTTGTCTTAGCCTTAGCCTAGTTGATATTTTTCGTCCGGTCTCTCCAATGTGTTCTTTGCCGCATATGCATGGAATGCTGTAAACTCCTGGCATCTCTAATGGAATTTTGTCGGATCGAAGGTGCTGAGAGATTTGAGAGAAAAAAAATTCAATTAAAGTGTGAATAACTACCCAGAATATCTTGTGTATCTAATGTAATGCCAATAGCAATGAAACCGAAAGCAATCTCACACTTGCCACTTTTGTCCTTCATTATAATCAAAACATCACTAACCACATATCAAAAGTTTTAGATTTACCACTTATCCAAAAAGCTCTCAACATCTTCGGTCCCTCAAAGACAAAATTTCATTTGAGATGCCAGGAGTTTACAGCATTCTATGCATATGCGGCAAAGAATACATTGGAAATACCGGACGAAAAATATCAACTAGGATCAAAGAACATCAAAGTGCCTTAAGGCTAAGACAAATAAACTCATCAGTAGTTGCCGGGCAAAAAAAATTATTCGATAAAACTAAGATTCTTGCATGTAATCAATTCTTCTACCAACGAAAAATCCGAGAGTTAATAGAAATCTGTAAACAACCTAACAATCAATATGGGAATCAGTCACCCGAGACCGTGTTTATTCTCTTCAATCGGCTCCGCCCCCCTCAAACAATATAAAAGCAGGTATAGAGTAAAGTCCGAACCAGTTTCAGTCAAGCTGGGAAAAAGCCAAATGGATGATTGGAGAAACGCTAGCTAGTTCGACTCAACAAAAACCGAAGCAGGAGGAATCCAGAAGTTTTATAAAAAGTATTACAGTAGCCTGTGGAAGTTTCTTTGAAAAATTTTCTTTTCTTTTTGTTTTCTTACATTTAATAAAGATTGTTAGTAGGTTCTGACTTGTAGTGGTTTTTGCAGCGGGAACAGGGTCACGGCTCCGGTCAACCAGTTACGGTCCAACCGGGCAGAAGGGTAAGTGTCGACGTTGTTAATTTTTTTTTACGAAAATCGACCCGTTCGAAGGCGTTTCCGGAGCATGAGCACGGCGTGTTGCGTTTTACGATAGAACGTGAGCGTCTCGATACGAAAGAAACAGTTCCCGTTTCCGTTTCAGGAGGACGGTTCCGACGAGGAGAGGGCTGGCTCGCCGATAACGTCGCAGCCGTCGCCGAAAAAGAACCAGAACGTCCCCGTGTACGCCATGCCCCCGCCCCCCGGTAACGCCGGCGAGAGCGCCGCTTTGAATCAGGGCGACGTGCCGGTCTACACCCCCGGTGAGTACCCGCCACTGGCGCTTCGCCCGATTTTCTTTTCTCATCCCCGAATCTGCAAACCCCGATATAGTGTTTTCACAGATATAATAGGTACGATTTGTGATGGCATAGTCGGCAATAAAATCCCAGAATAAAATAAATTGTTCATCTTGTTACCACTTATACTTCAACAGATGTTGCTCAGACGTAAACGTCTATCTGATCAATACAAGACAGCCATCACTAACGATCAAGATTATATTACTTGGGAATAAGAGAGAATGAGTGGTATAGTCTGTCTCAATCTTCATCGTTTTGGCTTTCAACGGACCCTCCCCAATAAAACTTTATTGTAATACGACCAAAAATATAGCGCATTTATTGCTTTGACGTTTTAAATATTTTACAGTACCTTAACGGCAGACCTTTGCAGGACCATAGTAAAACCCATCCCAATAGATGTTTATTCTGCATTCTGGTCTTGCCTGAGATGTACCGTATGGAATATTTGTAGAAACTTGAAAATTTTATTTGAAACGTAAATGGACCGATTTAAATTTGATTAAGCGTTGATGCAGAGGGGTATTTTTGAATAAGTAGAAGCGTTTATTTTAACATCAGGTGATGTGTATCGTTCTTATATATATTCGTATATATTATGGAGGTATTTGACTGTGGTCCTTCCAGTAAGTACGTATTTATATACCTCATTCTCGAGCTTTGACCCTGCAAGGCTGTTTTCACTAGATAGTTCAAAGGGTAGGGGCACCTTTACTCTATTTATCTTACAGGTATGTTTGAAAATAATCATTTTCGCCCTGTGTCAACATTCTTCTTCTTGTCTTTTATGTCTTCTACATAGTTCTTTTTTGAGATTATAGATGATGTTCGCGGTAGATAAAGGTACGTCATCAGAATACAGATAAATATTTATTAGAATCTTTCAATTAAACATTCTTTGAAGGTTCCTGTTTTTTAACACTTTAAAATGTGGAGACCGTGGAATGAAGCGGATGTTCCCCTGTTAGAAGAATACATTGAAAACAACGCAGAATTTGAAGACGAAGTGGAGTTGTAGTCGAACCTAATGATAATTTAGAAGACGAATTACCTCAGCAAATAAAAAATGGATCCGTTTGTCTTCGTATGACGCTAAACAAATTGTTTTGAATGTTTACTTTTATAAGAAATTCAGAAGAGGATGCAGGAGCTGCAATAAAAACAAGTGATATGAACAAATTTCCGAAGTCTACTAGAAGAAAAATTGTTGCATCTGGGATAGTCAAGAGGAAAGTTTTTAAAGAGCAACACGCAGATCTAATTAGGCGTATAATCTATTACGTTTATAAAGGGAACAGTGTTTAGAAGAACTGCATAAAAAAGTACTCACAGACTTAAGCACTAGTTTTGCCTCCTGGATTTTCATTTGATAACAATTAATAAACGTCAATTGCTAATGGAATCTCAAAGAATTGCGTAATGGAAGGTGGATTGTTTAAATGCAATTGAAAATTTTCTAGAGCAAAATAGGCCAATAGTGTATTTAGGCGAAACATGGTTCGACATTCACGACACAGTAAAAATTCGTCACGCTGGGTCCAAAAATGATTGGATGGAAGATGCCTTATTTTTGTTTGCCAAAAACGTCAAAGATTCAAGGGTAACTATGAAAACATGACCGCGGAAACTATAGGTAGATACATTCTTAGGACGGTCCTGGAATGGTTACGGGTAAGGGTCTGCTCGGCAAGGTGTTCTATAAAGGGGTGCGGTTTTAGAGTAACATATAGTAGGCAAAGTCAATCACGGGGACCATTGTAAAAGCACTATATTTCTTGTCGAAGTATACCTTGTTATCATTGGGTAAAACATTTAACAAAAAAATTATTCTTACGTAAGTGACAAAGGAAGGGTAGGCCAGATATATTTCTTTCTTTCTAATATATTTTTTAAGTGTTGACCATTTAAACTAAAACTATGTGTTGATTTGATAAAGACACGGTGTTGTCGAAACAATTGTCATGTCAAAATATATAATTTCGTGAAAATCTGAACTTTTAGGTTCTTATTTATTTTGATAAATGGATTTTCATCAAGTAAAAGCCACCTCAGTTCAATTCCCGAACTTTTTCAATAGTGGGTTGATTACAATATTTTAAAACAGATTTCGAATAACCGTCTTACTGTCATGGATAACGCAAGCTACCACAGCCGTCTGCTACGCAAAGCACCAGCCTTTTCAAGTTCAAAAACTATCCAGGAATATTTGTTAGAAAATGATATTTATTGTGAATTCAGTTACAAAAAAGCACAACTTTTCGAAGTCCTAAATTCATAAGCAATTAAAAATAGTATGTATGCGATAATTTGGCTTACATCTTGCTCCATATCAGGGCATGTTCAACCGCATAGAGCATTTGTGAAATATGAAATGTTACTCCTACCTTAAGTCCCAGTGTTATAAATTTGATAAAAAATGTAATTAATAACATACCAATTGAGAGCTGGAAAAAATCAGTACAGGACATTATAAAAATTGAGGTCCCTTACAGTTCTATACAAAACAACATAAATCCTATTATAATTAATCTCAATAACGACTCTGATAGTAAAACAGAATTTTAAACTTAGACATTTAGAATAAAAAGGTAATTTGGATAGATATTCCTAGCTATGAATGTATTGTATATATTTATTGTCATTGTTTTTTTTTGTGTAATTTAATAAGAATATATACCCAACCAAATGAACAAAAAAAATATTATTACTAAAACCTTTGAGAGTCCGTCCCTAATATTCTGTCTTTTAATATGTACCGGATCTGAATTTTAAGCCAGCACGATGAAGATTGAGACAGACTTTACTTGGAATTTGTTAATTTAATTAGTACGATCATACTCAGAGATGGATTGTATTTTTCTATTTTCTATGTAATAATGGATCAGGGTGCTCCTCAATGATTTTTTATTGTGCATGCACCCCGTATAAAGCGTATTTCATGTCTCATCGAACTTCAAAGTCACGGCTAGGTTATACAAAGAACTAAATAAATATCTTTAAGTTGCATTGACGTCTGCAAATAAATTTTTTTAATCGAGGGAATAAACAAATCTTTATTTAACAATAAATATGAAGACGATTTGTTGTCCTCATCGCGGCCAAAGGATTGAGGTAAAAATATTTGTGAATGTATTTTTGTAGGAAATTAAAAACAGCTCTGATGCTGTTTCTCCAAATTTAACAATATCAATTAACAATGCATTGTTAAATCTGATTATTAACTTAGCAGTCACATTTTTGTGCTTATTTTCCAGTTAAGTTTCCCATAAATATTCCTTTTCTTTTAAAATGTTTTTGTCCATCCATTATCCAATCTAAAAATACAAAACAATCACACAATCTCATTTTAATTACGGGTATAAGAAAACTAAGAAAGAAATGAGACGCTAGGACGTAGGTTATCGGTGGCAGAATTATGTAAAATTACGCTTTATTTGACCACTGCTTCGTAAGCCAAGTCAATCAATGAACAACATGGTTCTAAACTTTTAAAAATATAATAATAACAATCAAAACATTCAATAACTTCTGGCAAGCGGAAATACGTTCTCCTTCTTTCGTTCTAGTGGAAAAACGGTAAACATAAAACCAATTGGTAACGTCATGAACAGTGTTGGTGATTATTATTGTTAAGATGAAAGAAACAATATACAATTTGACATACCCATATGGCTATCGTTTAAAGCCTTGTATTGTAATAGATCTAAATTTTGGTTTTTAAAGGGAAACTTATTTTCTAAAAAATTGTTCACGGTTGATTTTAAAGAAAAAATTAAATGAATTCGTATTCGCCTTCAAAGATGGCACCTTCTAGCTTCTAGCGAAGGTATCATAAACGCGTTTTTTTCAAAATTAATGGCCAGACTTCTTTTTATATCAAAAATATAGTAGCAGGAGTCTTAGAAAGCTTCCTCGCGACGATCTTTCAAGAAATGAGTCTATAAATCTATATTGCAAAAATTACCCAATTTTATTTACTACAAACACAAGTGTTTCAACGAAGGATTTACTTTAGGCAAAAAGTCTACAATCACTTCATCGTTCAGAAGGCGTAGAACGACATCTCCGTCTAATAAAGCGAAATGGGTAACAATTTCCTTAGTTGGGTCGGAAATTAAAGACTTCCATGAATATACAATCGCAGCACTTTTTGCCTCAAGGAATGTCTTCTCCACACAATGGGACCGGCACAGGTAGTTTTATTGCCTTCAATATGCCAAAACCATTTATACGTGAAAGCACTATGATCATGTACGCTTATTCCGGATTTAAATTGCAATATTTTCAAAAAAGCTCTGGATCTTTCATATCAATAGTCTCAAACAAGTGCACTACCGCACTTATTCTTTGATCACTCGTTGCTCTTGGCAGTGCTTTATCTTTTTTCTTCCTAAGAGACGCTCGGAGACCTGTGTTCCCTTTCCACTAACGGGGGTCCTCTTCTTCTTTTTTAGATTTAAAATAAGCGAGTCGACATTTTCGTTGCAGATATGAGAAGCCAGGCGGCGTGGTGAGGTAAAAACCCAAAAAAAAATCTCGTGCAGGATCACCTTTTTGCCTAGTCACCTCACACACATCAACACACTCGGCACTACTTACAGTTGTAACGATTTTTGTTTTCCTTTGTCGTCCGCCAGATCGGAGCAGCAGTCGCAGTCTACCAATTGTGATCGTAACCTAAAATTCAACGGCGTCGCCATGTGGCCCGCGATCGAGGCTTATAATTTAATCGCGTGCTTTTAGATTTTTTTGTTATTTATTATTATTTTTTTAATATCAATTTGCAACCTCTCGCGGCGGCGTTTAAATTTTCGCGCAGACAGTTCTAGGTTATGTTGGTTGGGCAAAATCAACAGTAAGGAACCAAAAATCAGCGGGCCGCAGCTGGAGAAGCGTCTGGTCTACTGGTGAACTTGACTTGACTGATTTTTTATTAAATGTAAATGATTAGTTCTCAATTTTTTGTTTTTAGTATTGCTTAGTTTTGGTCACTTTGGGTTTTGATGAGTCTGTTAAAGACAGACGTCGGTGATTACTGACTACTGATTTCACTTCGGGTCCCAAGTTTACCTGTAATCATTACCAACATCTGTCTTAAGCAGGGCCGTCAGTTAAGACACTTCTCGTCAGAACATTGCTTATTTTACGACGATGTTATTTCTATGTATTTTTTAAGTAACATTCCTGCCAAAAAGCCGTTGCTCTCTTACTTATGGAAAGTACCAAAATGTTACACATCGTTTCTAAAAATTTGGGAGCCAAGTTTTACCAGCGAGCCAGACGCTAAAGCACCATAACGTCATAAAAACGGTTCATATTTTTCGAGTCTGGTTCCCTATTATATAGAATTCGAAACAAAATTTAATATTGAATGAGATTTGAGCTTTTCAGTATTCCTTTAGCGCATCCCGAAATATAGCCATCAATTTGTTCAATTTAACTTGACCGGGTAGAAGTGGTTTCGAATTTGTTTATTTTTAGTCTCACCAATGGTTTTCTTCTCATATTTTACGGCGTTTTTATTTATTTTTGTACATATTTAGGTATTCGCGTGATTGTTTCGATTCTGACGTAATACCTGGGGGGTATTGCGCCGGAACTCGAAATGGTAATTTGATATTCCGGACAGTAAATGGCACTTATGTGAAGGTTAGTTCATCTATTCATACCAAAACCTTTTCTGTGCCATTGTTGTCCTACGGAGACAACCGGACCGACAAACTTTCGTTATGGTTGTATTCGGACATACACTTTTTAAGAATTTACGTGTTCGTTAAGATATTAACTCTGGCCTCCTTATTAGAGTACAGTTGGATTATTATTGAATGTATAAAAATACTATTTTCAACGAAACAATATTGTAACATAACTATTAATAATTAAAAAGCGTCTTATTCCCGGCAGCGTATTTTTTGCATTATTCGGATGACGTAACGTAGCCCTTATGTGACATTGTTAAATCCTAACTGTAATTATAGCCAGTCTCAACATTCTATTATAGTTTTTCGACTTATAGCTAAATATATGTGCATATTGGTATATTTAAAATAAATTTGTCAAAAGTTATTAGCAATGGTTATTTTAAAAACCTGTTTCTAATATGTGTTCATTTCATGTAAATATTGCAATTTGTCTACTACCGAATTGCAAGAAATTTGGCAGATGAAATTACCCCCAATTTGTGCTTGTAACTCTGCGCATTTCAAATAGTTACAGAGACCTAAATATAAAAAGTATTTTTTCTTGAATACCAAACCACAGATTTCAAACTACACCGCACCTATTTCTATTGATAAAATCCTTATCAACTTTAAAAGCTAGCGAGCAGGCTATGGCAGAACAGGTGCGGATTGTGTGTTGGAGGATTCAACTTTCAAAGTATGCCTGTAATGGGCGAGCGTCCTTACCCAAAAAAGAAAACGTCGTATCACAGACTGCTAAGTCATTCGTAAAAATCTAGGCTACCAGGCAGTTGCCTCAGGTGAGGGTAAAACAGCGCCATTGTCTGGAATTTTCGATTATGATTCACAAAAAGACTGAAAAATTGTTCGCTGCCAAGATATTTGGGGCGGCGACAATCGGACAAGTGCAGTGCAATATTTGAAATTCGGATATGTAGCTCTGTTTGTATACATACAATTTTAGGTAACCAATCTTGAGTCTCGTTTCTCAGGTGAGTGAACTAAACTTTGAACTTATTTACAATATTTAATGATTATGTTGTATAGAATCGAACAATATCGTCAGCCTAATTGCAAAAATTACCTAGAAGTTGTTGGCATTTATTTTGTGCTGCTGATTTACCCGGTTCTCTGATTATTGCGGAACACCACCTAACTCCATTTTAAATATAGTTCCATTTGAACACCCTGAGTTTTTAGTGACTGCGAATTTTGAACTTGCATGAAGTTTGAAAGGATATCACAAACATCCAAAACTTACCTTACAAAACCAAAAATCGCATATTGACATAAACAGAAACCGCACCATACAGGAACTGAAAGTTACTATTCCTCTAGAGTACCAGACACATCCGTCAAAACAGGTTGCCATGCCAAAAAGGATGGTGACATTGAAAAGTGCACAATTATTGCTTCATTTATATAAGATTAAAAAATTATCTGATGTGATACTCATCATTTAGTTTAAGGTGTCTGTGAAAATATTTAATTAATATTCATAAAATGTATGTACTCCCTTTATATTTATGTTTAGAGGTGAAGAGAATTTCCTTTTTGGAAACCCAGAACACAGGACAAAAATTCACATGTTGCAAAGCTTCCTGGTTTCTTTGCTCCTCTAAGCTTGAAGAAGTTTGATGATGGTTTGTGATCGTTTATTAAATAAAATAAATTCTTTTTAATCAAGGCGGCGTGCCTTTTTCATTGAAATAATTAATTAATTTAGATTTGCGTGTTCATAATCGGGGTCTGAGTTGCACTGTGTAGAGTCATGTATCGGAGCTCGCTTCAACAAATTCGTTGCGGCGTCTAATGAAAGACATCGTCCCCTAACTTTGTCTTTTTAACACGTTCGCTGTCTATGACGCATATGTTGCGTTGCCTTCCACCACCAGAACCCGATGACGCGACAATTGCGTTGAGTGCACTTAAAATTTTAGGTAGTCGATACTTTTCCGGCTTTCGAGAGGAGCTGTTGCTTTTTTTTGGGCAGTTTTGGCGCGTTTGAGTATGTGTTTTTGCATTGTCGGTTTTAGGATTTTTTTCATAGAAATAGTGTCATGGATACTGAGATCCCAGGACCTTCGGGCGCAAAAAAAAACGTATTGAGTGAGATAGAAAAAGACCTTTAACGGATGATGAACTGCTGACATTAGCTACCGCTTCAGAAAATGATGAGAAACTGTTTATGGATGGTGGAAGTGAGTATGAGCCCTCTTCAAGTGACGAAAGTGCCGAGTCGGTCCATGAAATTCCTCAACAACCGCCACGTCCTTGTCCATTGCCATAACTTGTCGAATATTGGATGGACTGACTGAATACAATGGAATGCCATTCTCAGGTAATCCTGGATTATGAGTAGATGTATCAGACCACTCACCTTATGGATTTTTTAAATTATTAATCACAGATGAGTTGTTAGTACATATTGTTGAAGAGACGAATCGATGTGCAAAAAGAAGTTTTTCTTAGCGAGAAAACCATTGAGCAATCTCGAATTACGACTTTGAAACCTCTTACACTTTCCGAAATGAAAGTGTTTTTGGCTTTATGGCTTCATATGGGTCACATTCAAGTATAGAGTATCCAGGATTATTGGAAGACAGACGAACTTTACATTTGGGCTTTTTTCACAACATAGTGGAATCCGATTTCTGCTCATAACGCGTTGCTTGCATTAAAAAAAAAATGAACATAGAGAGGAAAAACCTGGGTTAGTTTTGGTTAGTTTAGTAAGATTCATTCAAGATTATATAAATAGCAAAATGGATTAAATTTATTATCCTGGAAAAAAATCTGTTCTTTGATGAGTCAATAGTTTTATGCCGAGGAAACACCTTTGTCACTGGTACTCTAAGAAGAAAAGAGGGAAAAGAAAATCCAAAAGAAGTTGTAGACGCAAAGCTCAAGAGTGGGGAAGTGCTTACAAAATGCTCAGAAAACATAATGATTGGAAAGTGGAAAGATAAGAGAGAAGTTTTGTTTATTTCTACTGAGTTGGGACGATACTTTGGAATAACAATAGAATAGAAGAGTCGAAAGAAAAGGCAAGTCAAAGGCGAAAACCGAATATAATAAGAATATGTCAAGACCAAATCCTTTCTTATTATTCCTCTGAAAAAAAACCTCTAAGATGGTACAGGAAGTTGTTTGTGCACTTTTTGTTCATTGCAACATTAAATAGTTTTCTATTATTTAATAAATTCTTCCATGAAAAAACTCGATTACAACAGCTTTCGGTATACTTTTATAAAAGAACTTGAAAAACAGGAACTTTGCCTAGGAGAGTACTTCAAAAAATTTCACTCAAATAATCTTAGAAAACTTTTAAAATTTTGACATTTTTTTGTATTAGTTGTTAAGCCAGTTTTTTTTTTAATTCTACCACTTTTTACCTTTTAGCTTATATCAACATATATGTACGTATCCCTCTTATTAAAAATAAATAATAAAAAGTTATCACAGAAGTTTAGTGAAAAATAGTTTCTGCGTTATTGGTAGTGACGCATGTGTTATGTCAACGGCTTATCAAAATGTCATGTCAAAATGTCATTGAAATCTGTCAAGCTGACATCTGAATATATAAAGACATGTTTTTAAAGATTCTTTCTGAATCTTTTATCACAAAAAAGCTTTTCGGTTTTAAGGGGTGTTCTACAAATTATTACCGGCAACGAACGTGTTAACGACACCTAACGAAAGATGACACCACTATCGCGCCATCTATTGGTACTCTTCTCAACTATTTAGTTTATCCTCCCAAAGAGATGGCGCCACCATCGGGCCATCTATTGGTGTAGGTCAAATAGTTTCGGCATCAAGCCAGAGATGGGACCACAATCTATTAATAATTGCTTCTACTATTTAGTTCTCCCTACTAACTACTAGTAGTTTCAGCATCAAACAAGAGTTGGTACCCCAACCGCGCCATTTGTTATTAATTGCTCTAACTATTTAGTTCGCTCTTAACGAGAGAAGACACGACTATCGCGTTATCTGCTGGTGTTTGCCTTACCCAAATAATTTCGGCACCAAGCAACAGATAACTCTTCAATCGCGCCATCTATTAATAATTGCTTCAACTACTTAGTTTGCTCTCTTAACGAGAGATGGCGTCACTATCGCGCCATCTATTAATAATTGCTTCTGCTATTTAGTTCTCCCTTTTAACGAGAGATGGCATCACTACTGCGGCATTGGTCGTACGGATTAACCAAATAGTTTCGGCATCAAGCAAAACCTGGCATAATTGTTTCAACTATTTAGTTCACACTTTTAACGAGGGATGGCACCACCTGGTATTCGCCTTAAATAAATGGTTTCGGCATCGAACGAGAGATTGGTACTCGCATTAACTAATTATTTCAGGTGTCTAAAGAAAGATGGCACAAGCATCCACTGATTGTTGCCTCAATTAGTTCCACAGTTTGACGAAAGGTGGAGTCGAAGGGAAAACAACGAAATGATTTGAAAGTTGTAACATGCAATGGGGCACACAATTGTAATGTAAATAAAGTTCAATGCCACAGGTTTCTTCCTGGTTTCAAATCCGCAAAGCCGCATTTTCGCAAGCGGACTGTCCTAACAAACCGCAGTTTGATGATCTTTCGGCTTACAACAATTAGGAACGATTTTTGTGAGTTGGACTGAAAAAACTCAGAGCTGTGCTCTGGCTCGACTCGCAAGGCTACAGCGCCTGCAGAAAATGGGAACATATCGCTCGGCTTGAAGCCACTCACGGTCATCTCTTTGATAATTTGCATTTTCTTTTATGTTGTATTTACGAAACCGTTCTTCGAATTACGGCTGCACACTAGTGCACAGATCCGGCTGAACAAAGTAGGAGAGGTAGGTGTAGATTTGAAATCACACAGCGACAAATTCCTTCTTCTTTTGTGTGACGAGCTACACGTCGAATGAAACAATACAGACACTATGCACCAAACAACATTTTTAACAGCAATTTTTAGCTGCTAAAAATGAATATAGTAATACATCGACAAATTATATCGTGTTTATTCAAAAGGTGAGCGAATAAAAAGAAAAGAGATAAACGCCCATTCATTCCAAAAGCTCCTTAAATAATTGATCTATGTAAAATTTTGTTTTTTTTTAATCTATGGTTAAAACCTTAAAAATTACAAATTTAGAAATGTTTTAACTTTGATAAAATATAACCACAGTGATGTTGGTTACTAGAAGCGTTCGTCATTTTAAAAGGCCTTTATCGAGGCATTTAACCACTCAGAGTATTCTCAGTGAAGGGGATACCCATTTCGGTTATGAAAGGGTTAAGGAGAGCGAAAAGGATGATAAAGGTAGTTTGATTGGGTATTTTCGTCGTTCTTGCGTTGCGGTTAAGTTTCTAATTTTAGTTTACGAAGTGTTCGAACGAGTAGCTCAAAATTACGATGTCATGAACGACACCATGTCTTTAGGTATCCACCGTCTCTGGAAAGATTACTTCATGTGCAAACTCTATCCCGTTAAAAATACCAAGCTATTGGACGTTGCCGGGGGCACAGGTATTTATTTTGCAACATGATTTCAGGTAAAACATGTAGCGTAAACATTATTTAGGTGACATAGCATTCCGGTTTCTAAATTATGTTGAAAAGGCAGGTTTAGAGAACTGCCATGTTACTGTGTGCGACATAAATGACAACATGCTGGCGGTAGGCAAAAAAAGAAGTGAAATTTTGAGACATGATCCAAACACCATCAGTTGGCAGCAAGGCAATGCAGAAGAGCTAGAGTTTGACAATAATTCTTTCAATGCTTACACTATAGCATTTGGTATTAGAAATTGCACTCATATAGAAAAAGTATTACAAGAAGCTTATAGAGTCTTACAACCGGGTGGCAGATTTATGTGTTTAGAATTCAGCCAATTGGAAAACTCTACAGCTCAATGGCTATATGATCAGTATAGCTTTCAAGTGATACCAGTAATGGGCCATCTTATTGCTGGTCAATGGAAGGCTTACCAGTACCTTGTAGAGAGCATCCGGCAGTTCCCGAATCAAGTAAACTTTTACTTTTTATTGTTACTTTTGTTGTTAGACTTTGAATTTATTTTTTAGGATACATTTAAGAGGATGATTGAGGAGGCTGGGTTTCGTAGGGTGACCTACGAAAATCTTACATTTGGCATTGTTGCTATACATTCAGGATTTAAATTATTATAAAATATAATCAAAATTTAGTCTGTTCAGCGAAGTAAATGTTATATATCACATTTTTCTTTTATTAAACCCATGATAGCAGAATGTAAAAATTGAAAACTAAAAAAAAGGTGCAATTGGTTTAAAATTAGCACTCACCATCAACACAACAAAAATTAAACTTTGCTTAAAAATAATTATATTGTATGAAGGATACAGTTTCATAAGAGACACTAACTTTAGCCACATCACTTACATTATAACACTCACACACTTAATATTGGAATCAGATTTATCGTCCTCTGCCCATTGGCTGGTTCTGCCAGGGCTGCTGAGCTCTTCCTCTAGCAGCGGGACCACCTCTGCCTCGACCTCTCGCTACAAGATAGCCTATTGAGTAAACAAGCATTAAGTTAAAACCATTCTTACCTTGAGCTCTGAGAATACCCGTTTTTCCTCTGCCTGAAGTTCCCGATTTTGTTTGCTTCTTAAACATTGGAGCATTCTTCAACATGTCTGGCAAAATCAAAAATCGAATTTTTGATCCTCGAATATAAACGTTTTCTAACTGAGCCACTCTGCCGTCTCTATAAGTAACTGTGATTTGAGTCATTTGGCAATTCATATTGTCTTCGGCTTCTATCAGTTTGCCCCGGTAGACTTCGCCGGTAATTGTTTCACAGGTTACAATATGACCCTCAGCTTCGTGAAGAACTTTAATTGGTACTCCGATAGACATCTTTTACTATAATTTAGTTAAAAAGAATAACTACAGAAAGCGATGAATATGGATTAACTTTGTTAATATATTTCGACTTTATAAACGACGCCAATTTTTAATGCAATTTTGAAGTTTGACAGAAGAAAAACAATTTACAATGCCTGACAGAACCAGAGAGAGGAGTGAGAGAGAAAATTCAATTGCTGTCTTTTGGGCAAGACTGCTGTGGTCATTCGCCCATTTTAAGCCAACCGCCGAGGATTTTTCCTTTGGCCGTAGACCAACACGTAAAAACGAAATATAACCAACATTTATGCTCAACTTGCCGGCCTCCAACCGGCGTGACCAGCAAAAATAGCGGGGTCGGCACACTTAAACACATTAAAACATTCATCAAACACTTCCGAAAGAAAAATCACACGAAAAAAAAAACGATATCAATGCTTTTTGCGACGCATACAATAGATTGTGTAGGGAGCGAGCCGAGGTTGAACCGCCATCTGCAATGCTTCACCAGAATGCGCCATAGAACAAACAAGGGAGAAAATGCCATTTGTGCCCAGCTACGATCATGCGCCCAGTGAAATACGGCATCCGCCGTTGATTACAAATGACCAAAAAGAAGAAATTTCAATGATACCAACATTTTGTTCTTGGGAAAGCTTCATGGATAAAAATAACTCGACCACCAAACAATTGCCCTGTTCCAATTTTCGCTATTGGTAACAATGCAATATGGTTTGTTTCACAGCTGTTTTATTGTGCTTTTGTATGAAAAAATAGTATCGTGGGGTTTCAGTTGTAAGGTGAATTGAAACTTTTATAATAAAAAAAGAACAAAAAAATGTCGGGCGGGTTATATTCTAAATCCACAAATCCATTCGATAATGATATATACGGTAATGGTGCAAATCCTTTCGACGACGTCGACGATGAAACTTTCTTGAAGAACTCCAGGAAACTCCAAAGCAACCATAATAGTTTTGACACGCAAATTCAAAACTTTCAGGACAAGAAACGGGCTATAGAAGAAAGCACCATTAGAAGCACTGAGCAAAGTATAAGTATACTGAGGGATTCAGAACAAATCGGAATAGCCACAGCAGAAGAGCTGATGAGGCAGCGAGAGAAGCTTGAAAAGACAGATAAGCAACTTGACGAGATAAACAACACTTTGCGATTCTCACAGAAGCATATAAATGGCATTAAATCCGTGTTTAGCAGCTTGAAGAATTACATGTCGGGCAAAGCGGACAAGAGCCCCACTACATCTAGTTCAACGCCCAGTACTGTCCGAGTAAGTTTATTGGCTGCAGTTTAAGAGTACAAAATGTATGTTGCCGATTCATTTTTGGATTGTGTAAAAACGACTATATCTCTTCTAGTCCTCGCGTGTTTACTCACAAAATAATTACCTCAAATAACCCATATATTTATCCAACAAACTAATTCTAATTTCTACTCAAGGAATACTGAATTGAAACAACAATTATTTCAAGTTCCTAAACATAAATGCCCTTTATTTTAGAAATGCTTTTTTGCTATGGTGCAGTTGCCCTGTTGCTTACCAATAAAGACCATTTATTATTATTGTTAGAGGTGCTGAATTTCTGTACATAACCGTTTTTTTGTTTAGGAATCCACGTCAAATGCTAACCTCCAGCAGCAACTATCCTCTTATGATCGTTATGATGAACATCCAACAACAAGATTAAGGGGCAATGATTATAATGCACTGCCGTCTCAGCAGGCTTCAGGAAGCAAAGATTTTAGTGCTCGATTGGATGCCAATCTGCAAGAAATGTGTGATAATATTTCTCGATTAAAAGGATTGGCCTCGGAACTCGGGCAGGAGATAGACACGCAGAATGATTTAATCGATAATATCACCTACAAAGCTGAGAAAGCAGATATTACGATCGGCAAACAGAATAAAGAAATGGTTAAGATACTGAAAAAGTAACCAAAATACTCCACTGTTAAATTATTTTGAAACATAGTTCAATTTATAAATTATATTTTGTTATATATTTGAATTTTATTAGTTAAATAATTTAAGTGGGCCAATGTTATGTGTATTTATATGTACATATAATTGAATTTTCATGGTGTTCATTAAATAAGAGTAAAAAAAAGACTGAAAATTTAATAAAAGTGTATTTTTGTGACACAATATAAATGTGTCTATGTCTATGACAAAGAACATACTCAACATTTTTTTGTTTGTTTCAAAAATGCCTGTATTATATATATGACACATATTATAAGCAGATCTAGGAAGACTGTAAGGAGATACATCAATTATTATTTTAGAAAGTGGCTTTCATGTACCCTATATAACTTTCCCTTACACATCTCAATTAAAAGACCTATTTGAGACTGCTGTTCCAACAAGGTGGATTATCTTTTCCTAGCACTAGGTATAGTGTGTGTCAAAGTATATTCTTGGGCTATGAGGGTCCCTCCCCAAAAGTAATTACGACCCTAATACTGAGTGTGAGTACACCCCACGATCAATAATTTATTCGTAGGTAAAGGGCAAGTCATGTTACCCGTTTTCCTGTGGGCTTCGAAAAAGCTTTAGAGTATATCATAAAATTCGTGTCTCTCCGTCTAAATCACTTACATGGTTTAATAAACCGATTCATTATTAAAGAAAAACTTTTAAAAGAAACCTGCCTACTTAAGACAAGGCCAATATTCTCGCTCAATAATACTGTTAACAGTGAATTATTGAATGAAACAAAAAACCTGGCGATTTTCAATAAAAATGGAATCAATCAAAAAAGGCGGCTGGAAGAAGATAAAATAATAATAATAATTAAAAATAATTATTAGTCGTGACATAGACAACAGGCAAAAAACAAGTGCTAATGATTAGCCCTCTTGGAGATTTAATTACCTTTATGAAATTGAAAACTATAGATCCAGAGGATGGGTTGGTTTCAATAAAAATTGTCACACCAAAAATGTACTCACTTAAGTTATTATTGGTAATTTCCATATATTTAGTGTCATGGTATTTTGTATTAGTACTAATGCGATTTTATTATACCTAAATAAACACAACATATTTAATCTTTATATTTTTAACACCTTAAAAGTCTGTCCCTGATGCTCTACACTACAACATGGAGCATGTTATTTCACTAATTGCCCTCAAAAGCTAAGACATATACTTTGAGACAGACCATAGACAGATCTCATAAATTATTGTATATTCATTTGGTACCTAAATGATCCTCACTCTAATACAACTTTCAACTCCACTCTAACGATGCACCAATTTTTTCTTACAAAAATTAACTTTGGACAAGTGAAATTTTAAATGTCTTTGAAACTTTTTCTGGGGGCATACAAAATTACACATGGGGCACTCGTACATGTCCGCTTCGACTTGTTTTGCGTGACGCTTCATATGCACTAAAGTTTGGTATACCGACGTCCCTGCGAAACTACAAAGGGGACATTTGATTCCGCAACCCGACTGATGGCACATGAGATGCTGCTTATACTTATCTTTACGCTTAAATTTCTCCGAGCATACTGAACACGTCCAGACCTCGTTTTTTTTTGAAGTTTCCATTTTGAAATAAAAATTGGATTTTACCACTCCGTGACACTTCAAATGCCTAGACAAAGTATTTGACGCGATCGCCTTATAGGTACAGTAGGGACATTGTTGACCGCCGGTCAGATAGTGACATTCTGTGTGCTTCTTGACGCGCCCCTTGACTAACGAACGATAGGGGCAAAGTTTGCAGTAGTAGTAGTCCTGCTTGCGACCCTCGTGCCGGGATAATATATGGGCTTTAAGGTTCCACTTTCTGTTCGATTGATAGTTGCAACTTGGACACTTAAACCACGTCGTCTTGTCAGGTTTCTGAGCAGATTCGTCACACTGTTGGTCCGCAAATTCACCAAATAAGTCCTTAACATCGACTAATTCCGGCAGATCTTCATATTCGCTTAAGTCTTCCTCTTTTATGTCATGATTAATAAAATCTAATTGCTCAGTTGGCAAATCCTCGTGATGAATTTTTTCGACTTTAACGTATTCCATTTAATTTATATTTGTAAAATTTTGGTCGATAAAAGTAAACAAAGGACCGCATATAAAGCTCTTCCACTTTAAACATTTGGACACACTGCAGCAGGCCGTAAGGCCATGGAATACCAGTGTCACCTCAGTGGTGTTGTGGTAACATTGAATAGCCTTAAAATGGCGCAATTCTTTCAATACAAACTTTTAAAAACGACGTACGTGAAACAAAAAACATTTAGAACACTGAATTAAAGTTATGAACGAGAACGAATATTTCCCTTCTAAAACGGTGCTTATCGCCGACACACCAAAGTTTAACAACGCAAAATAATTTTCAATGTTTTATTTCTTAACATATATAATCTACAACAAAGCCTTTGCACTTTCTCGAATGGGAAAACGACATATTTATCACATAAAAGGATTCTACCATATAAACCCCCTTTCCTATTGAAATAATACTAATTAATGGCCGTCAAACAAACCCCTTGAAAAAAAGAAAAAAAAAAGAAAAGCGTAAACAAAAAAGGCGAGCTTTTAAACCACGGAGTATGTCTCAAACAAGTAAAAAAAAACAGAACAGGTACAATAAAAACAGCAGCTAATCTAAAATAATCGAATAATAATTATTATTATTAACACTTACAGATAACACGTTTTATTTAAATATCACTACTGTACCGCGCCGAGTCCACTGGAAAAACCTATGCGTACTTTTTGTCGTGGGTTAATAGCAAAATATATTTTTATTCGTAATAGAAAACGCAACGAACCCTGATTTTTCACGTAAACACTTATTAGAAAAAAAAGTCCCATTGTGAATCTGTGCCGATCTGAAATTTAGGCGGTTATAGTCAACTTCATATTTTTTATTCGTAATTGTTTATCATTTTAGAACTCATTTAATTCTAAACCGTTGACATTTGATTTGCAACGCAAAAAAATTCAGAACACGGTTATGAATTAAAAATACGAAGTTGGCTAATCCCGCCCGCGAAATGTAGGTTACGGCAGTGCAAACTGTAACAGAAAAACCGGGTCTTCTAATAACCACAAACATCACCAACATACAAATAAATATACGACTCGGGGCTATTGGAATTTAAAGGTTCGACGAAAATAAGAAACGCCGTCAAAATATTCCGGATGGATTAATTTATTACCTCGAAGAGCTTTCGACTCTTTGGCGACTCCCAATATGACGGTTTTTAAGTAGAAAGGGTAGAGAAATAAAATCGCAAAAGCAATAAAATATAAAACGTCAAATTTCACAAATTAACCTGTATTTTGCTATCCTTTTTTCCAGCAGCTATCTTCGCACACTTAACTCGACTTCCAGTTACACTGGAAAATGTCAGCAGCCATGTTGGATTTTGAAAGTCGCAAGTCTGTGAAATAGCCAGCGCATGTGTATATTGAATATTCCTTAACATTTATTTATATTTTTTTTACACCGACAATTCATGAATTAATTATTGAATACTCGTCAAACGACTTCACATAAATAGCATTTATTCAATTTTCGTCAATTGAGTAATACCAACTGTTTGTTGAACTGTGCAAAATAAAACAAAAAGCAAGGTTATATTATTGCCTTGCAATTTGGTTTCGCAGATTGAATTTTATACGTTTTTTCATTTATACAAAACAATAACATAAACTCCCTCATTTACATTTGCATAACTTATTGGGACTTCATTTAGTAAGCAGTGCTCAATTTATTCACTACACATTATTTTTAGAGGTTTACTTTTATAAGTGATGAAATCACTTTCTTGATACCAATGTATGAGCAATATATGAAGCAAGCGATCCCAATTATAAAAATAAAACCAAACAGCGCGCAAAGCAATAAGATATCAATGGAAATATTAATGAAGAGGACATCAGAACTCAGTTCTTTTTAGAAACAAATAAAATTTAAAAAACCTTAGTAGGTGGAGCTGGTAAGTATACAGTACTGATTTAGTTAAACAATAAAACAGTTCTTTTATTTAGAGAACTGAGTAGGACAAAAATACTGTAACATGTAAAAGACTTAGAAGTTTCTTTTCATATCCTCAACAACGATTTCAATTGTTCAGAGTCCTTTTAAAACTCTGCTTTAACCAATTTGAACCCTCCCTTGATTGTATAATTTTTATTTTTCTGCAGGACAGACTGGGGCTTCAATATTTTAAGTATATTTGAACTAAACGTCGATTATTATGAATAAACTATTGCAAAACTATAAAAACTGACAAGCACACAGTCTAAATACTATTAATTGATTGAAATGTTGAATGTCATTTTAAGTGGTTCATTAAGAAGTTCTTAAAGAAATTTATTAACTTATTGTCTGTGTAAAAGTAGTATTGCAGTATTTATTTATCAAACAACGAGACGGATTGACTCATAGTTTTCGAATTTAGGAGTCGCCAAGGTGCGAGAGCGAAAATTCAGGATCGCGATTCTATTTATATAATCAGTTCGTTTATGTGTTTATTCTTAATGGCGAACGAAAGGAACAGGGACGTGTAAAATTCGTCGAAAAACGCGGAGACAAAAACAAAGATAACAAAAACAAATTTCAACTTTTGAAATAAACATTCTTTGGTTTTGCGATTCAGTAAATGAGGGTGTCCGGTATTTCGCACTGTCCTATCGTCACCCTGTGCATCGCCATCTCCGATATGCCGTGATAGTGGACCAGCGCCCCGCCCAATACGAATACGTGAAATATTTGATGGGAGTGGAACCAGATGTCGAACTTGCCGGGGAACCACCTCTCCGGTACCCGCAGGGCGTACAGCATCGCCCCGACGATGTAAAGAACCTAAGACCGCGCCATTTCTATCGTCCGGTCAATCAATGGGGTCAACCATAAATTACGTCACAGGATTTTTGCGATTGGCTACTTGCACTTTTTTTTATTTGGTAGACGCATTTATTAGTAGATTTAGAACACATCTGCCTAACATTCTTGAAATACACTATCTCAGAATATTTTACACTCATTTGAAGTTTGAATCGGCGTGGAGCCTGCGAAAATCAACGAAGTCTACTGTGACGTCACCATTCACTTTAATATTTTAAATATATGCACCAACAATGAATAGGGTACAAATCCAAAAAGTATTTTTTTATTAACAAAAACGCAAATAATATAAATGCTTGAAAATGCTCGACCACATACTGCGAGGACAGTAAGTTTTTAGAAAAAAAACTATATTGATATTTTAGCATGATCTGCGCAATCGCCGGACCTACATCCCACTGAGCACTTGTAAAATATGCTTTAGGGAGGGAGGTGTACTAACCAATACTTAATATTTTAAACAAGAAATGAGTACAGTCAAATGATAATTGTAACATTTCGTTTGTAAACCTCCTAAATGTAAATCTAAAATGTTGTCCTCTAAACAGTTAACCGATTTTTTTAAAGTAACAACAAAGCAAAACTGATTTTTAACCTTTTCGTGTAACGCCTCACTGATCTGCCGATCTAAACGATTCATTCTTTAAAAAGAAGTCACCCTTCATTTTTTTGACAGATGACTAACATAACCTGTTTTTTGTTTAGGCTTTTTGAATGTTTTTACTTTGTTTTTTTTCATGGAAATTTATTTTTTATTCGGTTTTAAAATAACGTTAAAAGATCTTTTAGCTTAATGAATATCGACGCTACTGTCAATGTGAATATGGTCATTTAATAGTCATAGCCTAATCATTCCCAATGAACTGTTTTTTAGCCAGTGATTTGATTTTATTACATTACACTGCAAATATTTCGAAAAACGGTGCGTTTTTGTCGAAATACATTTAGTATACATTTTTATTTAGAAACCAACACTCCATAATAATCTTTAAAAAAAGTAACGGATATCTAAGTTTGTATCTAATCAAAAATCGCTTGAGCCATAGAGAAACAACAATTTCCCAAACTAAACTTCAACACTCTGTATTTCACTAACGAGAGACATTTTACCAAGACAATATTTGGCTTAGTAATTTTAATGGATTTTTTTTTAAGAAAATAATTATGAGGTCATTAAAAAGGGACTTCAGATGTTTTGCCCAATTTTAAAATTCACGCAAGGGTCCTATTTTGCAATTCCTTGTTGCCCTATTCATTAAGGACGAATGGGGGCCATTTGTACTGCAAAAAGATATTCCGCCTTCAGGGTTACAACTTTTACGCGTTCTAGAAACAATTCAATGAAGAAGAAATCTTATAATGGAAAAGGCAATTTTTAATTACGTTCAGTTTGAGGCAAGAGATACAAGTGAAACTTTCATTGTAAGTCGAGTACGGTTTAATAGATATAAAGATTGAAATAACTTGAGAACTTACAGATTACAAGCGCATTCTCCAAAATTGGTTTTTAATAAATAATGCTTTAAGAAAAGAATATCTCTATTCTGTAAAGAAAAACCTGCCTTATGATTTAAAGCTGCAAAAAATATCGGTTAACACTTCTACTGGATGGTAATGCAAACGGAACGTTTTGACAGGCGCATAAAAAACCAGACGGAGAAGAAAAACAATCTACAATATCACGAATATTGTAGACAACATAAACCTTATTCAAATCAGGTAAGAGAAAAATGTTTGAGAGGGGTTATGAAAGAATATTTGGTCCTAAGCAAGAGCGGTGAAACAAACATTAAGCTAAATGTGAAAGGTGTCTAAGAAAATGTGCAGAAAATAACAGCAAGTCTTTCTAAGGATGAAGTCATGGACCAAAAATATTGAAAACAGTGATTCCGAATAGCAAGAAAACTTTCAACTGCATTTCTAAAACCCAGTTTAACCAGTTTAACAGAAATTATGGACCAATTTATTGGAAATGACTCAAATTTTGCCAGGAGTTCAAACGCAAGACGGGGTGTTATGAGCGCCTTATCCATTTAGAGTTCTCCAAACCATATACCGTTTTTACGACATAATCCGGATTTAACTTTAGCAAACTTTTATGAAGGTCTAAGCGCAGGCCTACCTCGCTTGGGTTTCTCTTTGCAACCTTCAATAAATAGATTCGCAATTTCACAATGACGTTCCAGAAATGTACTTTGGTACTTTTTGGTGAGATTCCTCAATTATTTTTGTTCCATTCCGTGAAAAATCCATTCTTACTTTAAAATGTTTATTATAAATCAAAATGAAGGAGTATTAAAAAAAAAAGTTATTCTACATCAAAATAATCACAATCGTCACTGAACTCGTCCCCCACATTAATAATTAATTCAGCACTAGTCAATTTCTGTAAACATTTTCTCCTTCAATGACATATTCAACACATTTTTTCCAACTAGATGCAGATATTTTTTCTACTTCACTTCTAATTAATTCTATTGCTCCAGAACTAAATTTCGGTGAGGTGTTTTCTCTTGCTTCTTTGTGTAGGAATTTTCAAAATACAAATCAGTTTAAGCTTTCCTGAAATCGAGTCGCCTCAAGTAGGGACTGTTTTAGGAAGATTTATATAAAAAGCACACTAATATGAACTAATATAACAGTTTAATCAAAGAAAATTTTCCTTCCTCTTAAAATACAACAGTCCGCACGACACAGTTCTTGTCGGCTAACATAAATTCGGCCTCGCTCGCGGGTCTTAAACTCATTCCGAAGTCAAAACCATAAAAGGTTCTAAAAACGGTATATCGTTTGGCGAACTCTACAGCAAGTTCTTACGGAGCACCAAAGGAAAAAGGAAAAATTTGGAAATATACAAGAGACTGAATGATATGAAATGCAAGACATACGGACTTGGAACTTTATTTATTTTTAAATGTATATTCGCTTATTATATTTCAATTCAATAGTCAACATACGTGACCATCTTCCTCTAACCCCATTATTTACATGATACAGATAAACTGTTTCATATTACGCTCTACTCGATTATACTTATTTGAAGGGAGCTTTATGCAAGGTGCGCGCAAGAATTCCTTAATTTCTGACGTAACTTATGGATGGCAACACGGAAACAAAATACTCACTCCCATCAGGATGAGCCAGCCCAGCGACTTCTGGCTGACGTTGTTCAACCAGCCTTCGACGAAACCATAATGGATGGCCGGGATTATGCCGCTGAGTCCGAAGGTCATGAAGACTGCTGCACGGAACGGCCGCCACCCGGATTCCGAAAATTTGTCCCATAAACTCACCATGATGCTCGTGAGACCCAAAAAACATACTATGGACAGGTATATAACCTAAAAGAAAACCGGGGTCTATCAAAAAGGCGCGAGGCTTTTTTTGCAGCGCCCACCTTTGGTTTGAAGTGGCAGTAAAAGCCGTAGTATAGCCACGGCACGAAGCTGCCCATGATCAGCATCGCGATCCCGCAATAGTCCAGCTTCGAAAACAGTTTGCCGACGAACTGCGAGTGACAATTGACGGTGTGGAACACGAACGAGAACCCGAGGCATATGATCGCGCCAGCGAAAAACGCCCCGAACACGAACTTTTCCTGGATCTCGATCTCCAAATTCGGACGCATCAGGAAATAAATGGCGATACCTGTGTGAGTTGAGGGAGGGGCTCAGTAATTATGCAACACCCGGAATAAAGACCGCACAGAAGCGACAAAACGTCTAAGACGATTGAGTCGTACTATGATGCTCAACTGCTGATGTATGTATGTCTAGTATTGTACCTCTGATTATCAAGAGTAACGGATAGATGGACAAGTAGTTGACCTACCTCCGCCATATTGTTTACAGTTAGAATTAGTTACTTTGCGGCAGTTGTTGGAGAAATTCATTATTCTTGTTGTTGAGAAATGGATTAGTAAATCTTCGCTTTTTAAAAATAGGAAACTAATTAGTCTCAAAGTGTTGAAAGCTTTTCGCCACCAAAACCCTACATTCGGAATGGCAAAAATAGTTGAACTGTGTTTGAATATGAATTGAGTTGGGACAGTCAAAAATATACAGATTTCTGCAGGGGACTAAACGCGGCCTGATCAAGTCACCAAAGCGAAGTACAGGAAGAAAAGAAACTAATAAATAAGAATGAAGAATAATACACTCTATTTAAAAACGGAAATAGGTACCTTGGATAGAATAATGAAAAAAGATGAATTTAATTCACCAATAAGACATTGTGGAAAATTTTGAGGGAAATGGATCTTTGTTACGAAAAATCTGAAAACCACTTTTAATAGGCGTCGACGATATTTCAAAGAAGTTAAAAATAGTTTCGAAATTTGGGTAAATAAAGGCGTAAACCTTGAAGATTAAAAATTTCAAAAACGCGAGGCAAACTTCCATGGACTAAAGCAAACACTCTCGAGAAAAAGTAAAAGATTAATAATTACTCACATTGGTAGCAGAAATTGATTTGTCGGTGGTGGTCTTTCAATCACAATGAAATGGAGACTATCATAAAGATATGAATGCTGATTTTTTTGAAGACTACTTTCCTACTGGGTATGTTATAGTCATCCTAAAAATCATAAAAAAATTCCACGTCTTCTTGGGAAAAAAATGCCAACATTCTTTGGCTTACTTTAAATAAGAATCCCTGTGAATTAAACCCCATAGTATTGGTATGGGCGCAAGTAAAAGTGTTTGTGGCAAGACATAACACCACTTTTAAAATGGAGTGTGAAAAATGGCGTAAATGCGTCGAACATGTGATTGAAATGGAAGAATGAATATGGGAAGTTGATAACATGCTGTCCAACCCCTGACTCCATGATGACTAAAATTTACAAATCATTACAAATATCACATGCCCTACACGTAGTGCGTTGGCGACTATCTCAAAGACAAGGTTGTTCTGATAGCAGCGTGACAAAGCTCACCAGTGTTACTTATACCTATCCAATGTTTTATATTACGCAACCAGCAAATCTACTTATGATCGACACCTCTCCTGCCCTCGATTTTTCCTTGTAGGATTAACTGCGGGATTTTGTACTTTGCCCCTCTCAGTATGTGGACGGGGTAGATAATTTTACGTTTCCTAATTACTTCAAAAAGCTCCCTACGTCAGCCTTCCTGAGAACCTCCTCATTGTGAAGACAATCCACACATAAAATGTATTCATCTATAATTTGGAAACAATTTTTTTGGTCTTTTGGTGCTTAGGTCTTAAAACTGAAATACCAAAACTATAATTGTAACTTATCTTAACTTTACGAAATAACCTTAAAATTGCCATAACTCTCTCGCATTAAGAAACAAGTTGCAAATAAATGAGGAGTGGCAGTTTTAAATACGGTTAAAATTTAGCCACCCTTACTTGTATAAAAAAAAATACTTGTATAAAATTTATGCTATAAGGGTAAAAAACAATATTTTTATAAAATAGGTGATCGAAACTTAACCGTTACCATTATAAAACAAAAAATGTCAAACAGTCAATTATCGGGTTTGTTGTCGCTTCTGCAAAATATTTATTCTGGGTCCTAAAGGTCACGAATTTGGAAAATAACCTATAAACGCCACGCAGCCGAGCAGGTGAGTCCAAATGTTGGCCGTCTCGGTGTGGATCCTGAAAATGCTCTTGAAACACGCGCGGAAACTGGGCAGGGGAGGCCTGTGGCCCCTGACCAGAAAATCGTTGTCCTGCAACCATCCGGGCAGGTGATGAAAATGGCAAACGCTCCAACCCACTTGAATCATCTTTCGCACGACGTGCTCGGCTTGGGTGGCGGCATTCTGAGCTAGCGCCGCTATGTCTAGCTCATCACCTGTAAAGTTTGGCAACGTGGCTAAGGGATTTGTGTTGGACGGGTGAAAGGTGGGCGGGATCGATGGAAAAACCGTTATTGTAGTAACTTCATTTAAAACTGGAAGAAAAAAACTAAATCTACACCTCCATGCTTCATGCTTGTAACTTAATCTGATAACTGTGCGTGCCTTTGGAACATATATATGTATATAACGGTATCTCCAATAAAACTCAATGCAAATCTACTACTGCACATCACTAACACGCAACTAAACACATTCCATAACAGTCTTTGTTTTTATGTTATATACAGGGTTAGTAAAAAGTACCAGAACGATTAAATATCTTGAAAACTGCTAAAACTGAAATGATAAAATTCAATAATGGAGTTTTCTGAGCATGCAGAATTTGAACATGCTAACAGCAATGTTGCCAGATTTTACAATTAAATTAATAATTCTGGTAACATTTCACTGATACACTTGCCCAATTCATTGGAGCAAAACCTATAAAGGGCTAAAACCCTCGGGGATTGAATTGTATAATTTACTAACCCGGTATATTTTTAAATTCTGGTTGATAATGCAGGCAAAACGAAAACTCCAATTACGGCAAGATATAAAACCTAACAGGGGCTACACTACTCTACCTGTACCTAACACGGCTGCCTTCAGCACGTCGGTCATCTCGGAATCTAAAACGTTTTCATCTTCGGGGGTGGAAGGCAGGGGGCAACCGACGCAATCCTCTTCAACCTACCAACATTTTTTAAAGATTAAAGAAACAAATAAATGCTAACTCAAGTTGGTCCCATGATTGGGACATATTCATTTACTGTCTTGTGATGTCACAGAAAAATAAAGTGTATAGTATTTATAGTATTTGCTATAGTTGTAACCTTTAATATACCATATACAGTTGTGAGAATATTCCTATGCTCCTTCACAACATTTAAAAAATTATAACCAGTTTTTATAAATATTTATTTCAAATAATTTTATTATTGTTTTTGGAAAAAAATGCTAAAACGACTCTGAAATAACACACTATAGTAGCTACTTACTCAAAACGATACTAATAATGGATCGCATATTTTGCATCAATACTTGAAATTACGCTATTCAGCAATAGATAAAAAATAGAAAAAACTTGCGTGCTACCTGCATTTATAAGATTGGGGGACTCACCAATGAATTGACATCTTCCTCGAGTAAATCTTTGATTTCGGAGGCGATCGACTCCGTTTCCGGGTCCCATATTTTTCTTTTACGCAACCCGCAGTCCAATTCCGTCAGCGATTCTTCAGCATCACTATAGTGTGACATTTTCGCCTTTCCCAAACGAGGCAATACTTTGTTTATTTCGCCGTTCCGACGATTTAAGAGCCCCGTAGGTGTCAAATGTTCAAAGGTCAGCTTAAAGAAACGCGAATTTCCAATCTATTGCAAAATACTGATAACAATGTCAAACTGACTATAATTGCCAAAATAATTGACCGTTATGCACCTTCCCATAACTTATCGAAAATGCGGAAAATAACTACGATTATCACTCGTAAATAATGGGAATTTCACTTACTTATTCGATGGCGCACGAAGAGGTTGCTGATTTCAACTTGCAGAATGATGCATAAAAAACTGACAAAATTTTGCAACTACGGATAGTTTAACGTGTTCGAATTCATGACAAAAATTAAAATAAGATCAGGCACTCTACTATGGATCGACTTTCACATACGCGCAAATACCATCCGACGACACATCAGCTGTGGGTCTCTCAGTGCAGCCAATAGTTTGGAGCTAAAGATACCCACGCGCACTATAGATTCGTGCGTTGGTATTATTGATATCTTTTATTTTTAAATTCTGAAATGGCAGGGGAATTATTGATCTCTAATCAACCGATCGATCAAACAATCCAATGTTTTTTATTTCAAAGTATGTCCAGCTGGTTAGGGAAAAAACGAGCTGTGTGTGTTGAGATCGCTGTTTAAAAAGGAATGGCAGAAAGTAAAAGTTAGTTATTAATGTATGACATTTGTGTGATGAAATTTTATACATTTTTGTTTTTTTTTTGCTCAAAATCATCGATGCAATAATGTGAAGTTTGTGTTTGTACTAGTGCGGGAACGAAAAATAGAATAAAACATAATTGTTTTTCGTTTTTTTTCTTTTATTGTATTTTATGATATGTCGTCGGACTGGGTTTTCGAAAGAAAACAGTGAAGTTAATTCCACTTTAATATCACAAAAATAAAGGTTCTTTATATAACCACGGTACCGCACGTGAAAACGTTATTGCCTCTTGGACACACCGGCTGAGACTGACTTTTTGGTCGGCCCGCGGTGTTGCCAAATACACCACAATAACTAACCCGAAAATTAAAACAAGTTTTTTACTGCAGTTTTTGTTTTTATTTACGAATAGGTTATAATTTACATTCTACAAACTAAAGATAAAAGCTGCAATGTACACTTATATAATAACTTACATACGTACCTTTGTACGTGACTAGTGCGAGTGCATATATTATGCATTTATATGCACGCCTTTTTGTTATTGAAAATGAAATGCTTTGGTATTACCGAAATAAGAAATGTTTTCGACTTTGTAATTTATACCAAAATTTAATGTTCTATGAAGCATTCTATGAGAAACTAACTCGCAACTGTATCGACAAGCCTACCTGCGCATAGGCAAAACGTTATAAAATACATATTGGCCATTGAAAAAATGGCCGAATTTTTCGGTTTGGTCAGACCCATTTGGTTCGGTTCGTCGACCTCATTGTTAAGCTGGAATCCCGGCAACGGATACCAAGTCTCGGCCGTAGAAGTGGGATACCAGAATGGGGTCGTAAACTTGATCGTACTGGAGCTGGGCCTTGCCGTGGTGGTCGACGGGGTAGTTCTCGAAGTCGTAGGCGGACTGGGCGTGGAACTGCGTACGTTCGATCCCAAAATTTCGACGGTACCCCACTTGTTTGTAAACGGGGTGGAGGTAGATGGTATGGCCGAAGACATGGGTACAGTGTTGACGGAAGGGGTAGGTTCGGAGGATGAGGACCAACTACTAGATCTTCCATACGATGCCGGTCTGCTTCGCGTTCCTAAACTTTGCTGGGGCACTGGAAATTCGGAAACGAACTGTCAACAACATTGAACCATAGTTTTTATTGGGAGTTGATTTTTGAAATATTAGAAATAAATATAAGCATTTAAGAACTAACTTGTGGTCTTAGGAGGCTATGATCTCCATTTTAAAAATACTTGGACAATGCAGCCTTGCCACATCTACTCGAACCAGACACCAATTTGATTAAATGTTATACCCCGTCTACTAATAATGAAATGCTGAAAATTTCTGAATGAATTGTTAGTTAATTAAACATCTTTCAGTTTGAGGAAAAAAATTGAAATTTAGGTTACAGCCTGAAAATAAGCTATTTTGAAGTGAGAAATTAAAATTATCTCATGCAGCGTGTTTAAATTCTGATCGGTGTAAAACGCAAAAAAGTAGAACAATGCAATTTCAGCAAGTATAACTATGCAATAATTTTGATGAGTTTGTCAATGTTTGTTTCTACTTACTCGTGAACGTGCTTCTTCGTGTTATCCCTGATGTTTATACTTTATACTAAGCCACTGATATATATTTTTAGTTGACTAATACTGCCATCACTCATACTTAACCATGCAGTCCTTTAATTGTATTATTTCGGTTTTTGTGTATTAAGTTCATAGCCTCTTACAGTAAATTTGATATCCCGTTACCCAAAAATATAAATAAGGAATTGTTATTTTTTAATTGTTGTCATTTTAATGTGAAATAAATTTTCTAAAAACGAAATAATAAACAGGGCATTCCATTTGTGTTTGAGGAACCCTGTATACCATTGAAATATATCCCTCTATTTGTTTTTCTCCACGTTATTGTGAACTCACCTGAAGGAAACGTATTTTCGCCGTAAGTCCTGACCGGAAAGTTAGAAGATGGCAACCACGAACTGGAGGTGGAGATTTTAGGAAGTCGGGACGATATGAAATCCCTGACGTCGTCAGCTTCCTCATGCTGTATCGTGCTCCAGGGATAGACTTCGCTGGAAACCGGATAAATGACAGATTTCGGATCGGATCTGTCCGAATAGGAAGTAACCGTGTCCCCAGGCGACACGCAATCTGCAGAATTCGAGCTGAAATTGAAGTTTATCCTGTTCAATAAATACGCTTTAGCGCAGGCGTTGTTTAATACTTTCTCGTACATTGCGAAAACAGATGCGAGTGTATCAAAAAACGCAATTTGACACCACAAGGGAACTTAAAAGAAGCCTTAAGCGGCCAAAATCAGTCTTTAAGTCAAATACCAGGACGTAACTATATATATTTTTTACTATCATTACTCTATGATTTAATTGGTTTGTTCATTGGTTACTGAGATTTCACAACAGGCTTACATAAAGTTGTAACACTGGTCTCGCAAAAACTTCAACGCCTTGTCGATAGTTTGGGTCGCGAACCTCGAAGCCGGACCATCCGGGATGCCCTGATCGCACATCCTCGTGGTTTCCCGTTGGACGCATTGCTTGAACCTGTCATAAGAGCTGAAATATTCCCATTTTTTTAAAATTCACACCGTCATGGTTGTGTACGGACCTTACCAACAGAGCGTGGACTTAGAAATTACGTCGCCCTGGTCGACTTGTTCTACCAATATGTTGTAATGCGGCCCGCAGTGAATCCTCTCCGTGACGGTACTTTTTATGCACGGCGCGTACCTCAAGTACTCTGTAAAATAAAATTTTTCGAAAATATTAAAAATGAATAAAGATTTCAGAAAAACTTCGTATAAATTAACGATCGTTTTTAATAAATGTGCACGAACACAATAGTAACTATTTTCGTAAAAAAATGTGGAACGCTTCACGATTTTGCGTGTCATCCTTGCGCAGGGGCCATGCTAATCTTCTCTGTATCGTTCCAATTTTAGTATATGTACCGCCGAAGCGAGTACGACAATGTGTTCTTATTAAACATATTTGTAGTTAACTCGAGTCGGCTCGTGACGGTGACAAGTAGACGGGGATTCGTTTTATCGCGTCCGACAGATGGCACCGGACTACGGCTCGCCGCATGGAGTCCGTTGTCGAAACTATTTAAAGTTAAGGCGGATAATTAAAATCATACTTACCTGGCGCAGAGATTACCGTGATCACAAAGGCGGTTTCTCCAGGGTGAGGCCCTCCCATTGCACTAAGGTTGGGCTGACCCCCGCGATTATCCCTAATGCGGATAACTCGGGCGCGTAATTTTTGGTAGTCGGGACTGCGTACGCGCTGTCCCGGTGATTTTTTAAATTTAAACAAAATTGTGAAATGAACTTGCTAGATAGAAGTTCCGTAAGGTTTGGAAGAATTTCGGAGATGAGTGAAATCAAGAAATTCCGTGTTAAATACATTCATATATTTATAGATGCCTGGTTTGATAGCCACGATACCGTCAAGGATGGACTGTAACAGCAGGAAATGTTCGTTGGATGTGCCAGTTTCGCGGGGCAAACGAATTATCCCGCATGGGTGCAGTTGATTGGGTAGTTAACGCAAAAGATGTCGAAGAAGAAAAGGTTGACTACCACAAAAACATGACACCAGCTCTTTGAAAAATGGTTTTCTGAAAAATTGCTTCCCAATTTTCCACCAAACAGTGTTATCGTGATGGACAACGCCAGCTGCCATTCTACAAGCGGAAAAAAAAATGAAACAAATATGGACAAGTTGACCATGGAGCGGGGATTCAAAGTTGTCTCCACCAATTTTAATCCGATAGGACGGATATGAGAACAGTTTAAACCCAGTTTAAGAAGAAACAATATCTGGCCGAAATTTAGTTCTGAAGAATTTTCATGGAATGTAAAAGAGAATAGAGAAAGCACACTGCGAACTGTGAAATACGTGGTGAAAAACACACAGAAGTGATTGCAAAGGTTGCATGTTTACAGTATTTATAATTATTATAATGTGTTTTTTAAGATTTGTTATTTATATCCTTCAAGAATTATAGGTAATACTTTACCTTTTTAGGATCTAAGGAGCAAGAAATTATCAAAATCTGAACTAACCAACGGATAATCGAAGATTCACGAAGAATTTAAATTGATCAATTGGAGGGAAAAAAACTTATAACCGGAAGATGTTGAACAGCCAATTTAAAATTGATAGCATTTGGGGAGAAGCGAGAGGTTGTAGATATGCGTGTTGTGTTATGTTGAAGAAATGAATAACTTTGCTCACAAATTTAAAACGGACACAGAACAAAGAAACACTGAAAAAAAAAGTAAAAGGTAAATTATATTATTAGTATATTTTAATATATAATATAACGTAGAACTTTTGCAGATTTTTGGGTTATATGCATCAAAACTACCTGTGCCACAGCAATCCTTTCCATTAGAATTAGATTTTTTTTTCAAAATGGGCGATTTTGACTAACCTTTTTGGTAACTGGGTTGCATGCACATCTCGTGGACACTGTCGATGGGACTTTTGACTGCTTCGTTAAACTGTGCCCTCTGTTGGGCGGTGAAGCATTCGTCCGTATAGGACCTCAGACAGTTTACAAAACGATTCCAAGTCCTGCACACGAGGTCCATGTCGTTCAGGTTGTCGGGGAACACGAGATGAGCTTCCTACACGGAAATGAGGCATTATTTATCGGACGCACGGCGAAGTTTCAGTCCTCACCTTTACCAGGGGATCCGCTATGCGCACGCATTTATCGTACTCGATTTGAGAGCACTCCGGTCGCCTCCCCGTCACGGGATACAAAAACAGCGTCGCCACGAGAATATCCCACCACATATTTCGCTGCAAAAACGGAAAAAATAATGTTGAAATAATCGATAAAGCGGTAAAAAATGTAGTCGCGTGTTTGATCCGGATTTTCTTACTGCTATGGAAACATGAAAGCAGATTGTTGTGGGATAAGAAAGGTCAATGCGAAGTGCAGACTGACCGATTTATGACGCAGTACGGGTGGCTACGGTCGTAAAACTTACAATTTTGGAGAGGGCAAGCTCAAACAGTTTCGAAGAATTGATTTAACTACTTGTGGTAGCTGGAATTGGTTCTGGTTGGCAACCAGCTGGTAATGGGAGCGACTGGCCTTAGCTGACATGTCCAGAGAAAGACATTTTCACAGTCCAATTCTTTCAATATTCTGAATACGTACATTATACTAGGGTGACCAGACATAATAATACCCGTGCTCAAGATGATGGCGACCAAGTGCATAGTAGAGGAGTTTAATGGATGAAATTTTGTGAAAATCCCCTTTGCATCGTTTGACAAAACCCAACATTTGTAGAATGACTAAACACAAGACCCATAGACAAGATGAGGTCGACCAAGTGCATTGGTCAACCAATATTTGCAAAGGTACAAGATGTTGCGGCACAGAACCGAGCCCGGGTATAAAAGTCAACTGTCACTATTGCACCGAAGCACAAAGCTGTCCATATCTGATTGTAGTTGATACACTTGTTAATATCCTTCAACATTATGCAGAACTTCAAATCAACAGCAAAGAGAAAAAGGTTACTTATATCTGAGAATGTATGGACATCGTGAAGAGAATTGGTCTAAAATGGAGCCCGCGCGGCACTCTCGAAGACATGAGGATATTCGCAATATAGTCTACAAATGATAAAACACAAAGATGAAGCTCTCAAATAATTTGGGTATAGCACTTAATATACTAACCGGTCCTGCTTTGAGGATGGGATATGTGGATAATAAGTGATTAAGAAATTCAGAATGTTTGAATATCATCTACATCTACATCTAATTTAATCTCTGGGTCCAATTAACAAATTAATATATGCTAGGTGCCGAAAAATCCTCGCAGTGATAGTGGTGTCCATTTATCAATAAATGTAATATAAAGAATAAGGTTGCTTTCGAAAAATCGTCGCTGGGCGGAGCAGCTTTTTATTAGAAAAAGAAGTCACTTGACATTTCCTTGTCCTAGAGGGACGCATTGTTTTTTATCACGCTCCTGCGGTCCACTATGGAACTTTCGCAAAATTGATGTAATTATATTGTGTACACACCCTGTATAAAGCATCTTTTACTTATCGCCGAATTTCAAACTCACGACAAACTTTGATAAATATAAAAAATTGTACAAGTAATAACGATTTCCACTTATTCCATATTCCGAAACTCTCTTGACACAATATTAGAGACTGTTTAAACCAAATTAGCCCATGTTTTATAGTTTTTCATTTACAGCGAATACTTTATTCACGAAAACGGCAATTTTGACACACCATAATTGAAAAAATTCCGCAAATTGGGGTTATAGCCCTGAATCTTCCACGTTCCCTGGTCCAAGAATTTTTCCAAAATAGTAAATACTTTTCGAGAAAGTACGTTTTTTCTGAAACCATGCAGCGCGCCGTAATAATCAATGACGTCGTTGTGTCTTGACTGAGCCCTCGAAATCGCGATTTTAAAATAGATTTTTTCATATATCCCGAGCAGCGTATGTGATGGACGAAAACCGCAAATACAAAAATTGTAGCTCTTGATGCGGCCTATGACACTGTTTGAACCGATTAGCTATATTTTTTACGATTTTTGATTTGGGGTTAATAATTTACTCTGTAAAAGAACAATTTTCTAGGTGTTTTAGATTTTTGCCTATAATTTGAAAACCCTGTATATTATCGAAAAAATGCCTGAAATGCCTGTTGTGCACTGGATCTTCCGCGTCTGTTAGCTAAAGAATTTTGCCGATCGGGTGAACGATTACGGAGGAAAAAAAATTTTTCTGGAAGCCAAAATTACCAAAAAAATAATTCAAAATTTTTAAAAAAATACTTGGTAAAGTTTGATTGCACCCAATTTCTACTGTTTAAATGAGGACACAGATTTTTACGTGTCTGCTAAATTTGAAGTTGATATGTGGAAATTTGGGACAATTAACATATTTTTAGAATATCGGGAACACCCTGTGACATAGAGAGTCATAAGAATCATAGTCCTTCAGTTATAACCAATTTTCAATATAAGGGGGACCCATTTTTCAGTTTTTTTACCCACAAAAACGGAAATTTTTAGGATCTTTTAGATTTTTTACACATAAACGACACACCCTGTATATAATTCAAACAATGTTCGAAACAGATGTTATAGCCCTGGATCTCCCACGTTTCTTGGTATATGAATTTTTCCAAGTCAATAGTTTTCGGGAAACAGACTTGTTTTCGTGTAATAATAAATGACGTCATCGCGTCTAGATTAACGGGCGAGAATTTGTGATTTTCATTTGGATTTTTTTAAATATCTCGAACAGCGTATGTGATAAACGAAAATTATAAATACAAAAATTGCAGCTCTCGATGTGGCCTATGACACTGTTTAAACCAATTAGCCATATATTTTACGAATTTTGATTTACAGCTAATAATTTACTCTGGAGAAGGACAATTTTCATGGTCTTTTAGATTTTTGTCTGTAATTAAAAACGGCTGTATGTAATCGAAAAAATGCTTGCAATAAAAGTCTGGATCTTCGGACGTCTGCTGGTTTATGAATTTTGTCGATCGGGTGAACGGTTATAAATAACCAAAAAAAAATTCAATTTTTTTTTAAAAAATCCTTTGGGAGATTTAAGTAAGTCCTTCTTCAACAGATGAAATACGAGTGTGGACTTCTACCCTTCCGAGAAATCTGAAGTCGATAGTTGCAAATTTGAGACAGCTGTTAATTTTTGAACATAGCACATAATATCTTGAACACCCTGTGCAACAGGTGAAAACCTTAAATAGAAAAGGTTTAGCTATTTATGCGGGCTATATCGCCATGTAAAACGAACTGACATCCGAAGCACAGTCTTTCAATTGTAGGGGGACCCATTTTCAGTATTTTTTTTAATTTGTGGCGCACCCTGTACATTTTTGAAAAATTTTATTTTATTTTGCGTCTTCCCGTTTAAGAATTTTTTGGTCGAGAAATGATTTTTTTCATAGACCTTTGCAAACGCGATTATTAATTGTTTTAAAATACTTCCCGACCCCCCAGCCCCCCGAATTGCAATAGATTCCGTCAGGAAACCAAGCAAACCATATGTGTGAAAAAAATGAAGTCGATAGCTTCAACTTTCGAACACTTATCGTGTTTCATAGCAATGTCCAAAAAACAGTCGAAAAACGAAAAAAAAACAGGTGGCCGCCGAGGTTTGGTAGCGGCCATTTTTTGATATCTTGTGTATCTGGTAGACTGTTAAAAAGGAGCAAAATTTAAACCATCAAGTTCAAACCGTTCGGAAGTTATTGTGGAAAAATTCCAGGAACAGAGAACCTAAAACGAAGAACGGACAGACAATAAAAAAAATTTTTTTAGAAGCTGTTTCGTTCTGCACCAATGGGGGTCCACGTATACTTTCGAAAAGAATCGATTTTATCGATTTTTCGAAAGGAACAAGCAAGTTGGGAAAAAAACGTAAGTTCAAATTTTATCAGTTATTGGGCATCCGTGAAAAGGCCAATGTCAGGCAACGGTAACAATACATACGCCAGCGTCAGGACTGGATTTTAAATCTATTGTAAAAAATTACTCAGTGTGACGTCCATCTATATATTATATTAACATCCACCGAGAATTTTAATTGGTCGACAATATCATTAGCGTGCTTTGACACTTAAAATACCTCCAGATTCCAGACCCATATTTGCATCAAATAACCATCCATTTTATCTTCGGGAAAAATACAGCGAGCATCCATAAGAGATTCACGAATATTTAGAATATACTTCTGTCATACGTGGAGGATATATACGTTAATATTCGTATAGGTCGAAGATCCATATTTAGCAATTAATATTCTAGGTATGTGGTTTCGATGTTTATTCATCGTAGAATATGTTAGGCCTATGCTCAAAATATTCCGTATTTTTCAATATAAATTTGCTGCGCCTGGTATATATACAACACAATTTTGTTTTCATTTTTAGGAATTCGTATATGTACCTATAAAACATTCTTATATTTCTGACATCATAACCGCCATTTTATTCCGATTCCAGATTATTATTTGAGCGTTTAAACTATTTTATAAGTGTAACATTTGATATAACCAAATTAAAAAAGTTTTTATCCACAGACACTCTATGTGCAATGTCTATAATTTTTGAGTTTGCTTTTGATGCTTTCTTAACTGTAAAAGTAAATTGGCTTGCAGTTTTTTTTTCGTATTGCAGTTAAGGTAGGTAACATTCTTTTTATTTTTTTTTTTGCTGTTATAACCTAAATGTCCAGTTCTGAAATAACAAAATATCAAGGGGGCAGGCATTGACTGGTTTCTAAGATTTGTCCACATAAACACACCTTAAATATCAACTTGTTACCGTCAGTAAATATAAATCTAGCCAGAGTAATATTATTGGTAATGGGCCCCCTAATGAGTTTGAGTTTGAGTATCACAGCTGATTTCAGAGTTTGGCAATCGCAATCACAAGTTTCTGTAATAATGGAATACTATATAGCAAAGTAAATGATGTCTATCTGAAGGGCGAGTTAGATATTGTAGAATCTATTATTACTCTGTAGTTTCTCCTGTTTACTGTTATTAGAAAATATCAATTCTCATCATTCAAATTGTTAAACTGATGATTCTCCACGTAGTTTTTTTGATTAATGAGCTTACAAACCATTGAGACTGTCATTTTGTTTCAAAATACTCCTCAAACTGAGGAATATTGAAAAAAATATATATGTTATTAAATACCTACTCAGAAAAATTTGGCAATTATTATTTTAACTTTTCTAATACTTCTTTAACCATAAGATAAGTAACTTGTCAT